GCATGTTAACAGTCTCATTATTTAACTAATAAGATGCCTAAAAGTGTTTGTTTGATATTTCCTGCATCTTTACAACATTGTTAGTTGATTATGTAAAAAACATGGTAAACTTGTTATCATGTATTGTGTAATAAAGTGTCAAAAATGGAAATAAACTCATATCATTGCAGTTTGTCAGATTCAATCATCCACTATGTTCAGAATCTCAGAATGGAGGAAATTGGACATTTAACACTGTTCTATTGATACTTTTCCCATCTCATCAATTTTTTTAGTTGGTCATATAAAAATGGCAGTAAAATGTTTATTTTGTTTTATGTTAAAAAAGTGTTAAAAATGGAAATAAACCCATTTCAGAACAGTGCTGTCTTGTTTACATTTTGGCATTTTCAAGGCGTGACTTTGAAGTTCCATGGGCCTGAAGACCTTTGCTAGTCACATTTTCTGAATATCTGTGATACAAATATTTTATAATTAAAAATTGATGGTCATTTAGCTGTTAAACATTATGTAATATTGCATCAAAATTTGAAGAAACCCCTATTTTGGGCACTGCTTCCATGATGACCATTTAAGGAAAATCATGTTACTTACTGTTCTCAAACTTACAGGAAAGAAACATGGGACTAAAATACAGCTTCAGTAGGCAATGCAGTCTGTTTGGTATTTTTTTTTTGGCAGTTAAACAGTTTTTTGTGAAAATTTAATTTTTCACATATTGGCATTTTCAAGGTGTGACTTTAAAGTTCCATGATCTTGAAAACTTTTGCTTGTCACATTTTCTGAATGTCCATGTTACTAATATTTTATTAATAACATTTGATTGTCATTATGCTGTTAAACATTATTTAATGTTGTATCAAAATTTGAAGAAACCCCTATTTTGGGCACTGCTCCTATGATGACCATTTAAGGGAAATAATGTCACTTACTGTTCTCAAACTTATAGGAAAGAAACATGGGACTAAAAAACAGCTTCAATAGGCAACGCAGTCTGTTTGGTAAATTTTTCTGGCAATTTAACAGTTTTTTGTGAAAATTTAATTTTTCACTTATTTGCATCTTTATTTTCTGTTCTTTGTCTGTACATTTGACAGCTTTGCTGCCTTGTTTTATTAAAAGTTGAATACTTTTAAAGTCTGGAATTACATAAGCTATTGTTTCTATGTAGCTGAATTAAGTATTGAAAGTAACATTTACCTATTTAACTCTTTAGGTGTCTTAAGCATGTTTAAATTTTTTTTTTGCTTTAACGAGTACAAGGACCTTAAATTTACTGTAAAGAAATGGATGTAGTTGCTTCAGTTTACTTTCCTTATATTTGATTTCTCTATTTACTTCAGGATTCTCTGGAACTTGTGGATCACCCTCTGATGTACACTTGCTGCCCGTATCTGGGTAAGTAACCTCAAAAAATTTTTTTCTGAAATATCCTCCCATCTTCCAATGTGATCATTTTATGTCAATTTTTTTTATTTTCTGTAAATTATTAAGTAAGGGGATTTGGGCAAAATGAGAAGGAATGTCAGCTTTAAAGAACTAATGCATTTTTTCTAGGCGAGTTGAGATCCTTGCTGATAGACTTTGCTGTAGGTGGCAGCACCAAACAGAACAACATTAGGAAGATCACACCGATAGCAGCAGAGTGTGAGGATGAGGATACTGGAATCAATGAAAAACAACTTCAAGTAAGATTATCATTACCAACATACGGTAATGACTCGATCTTTTCAATGGAAAAAATTGTGATTTTAACCGTACTATATTTTTTAAGTCATAATTTCTTAAAATAAGAGCATTCCTATTGAGTGGTTGCAACAAAATTGAAAAGCAGACTGCCTTATAGTCCTATTATATGCATTAAAAGCACCACAAATTCTATACAAAAATATAATTTTTATGATTTTAAAATGATGTGTCCGAAAGTTTGATAATTTTTGCCCATTGAAAAGATCGAGTCATTACCGTAGTTTCTGTCAAAAAGCATGATGTAAAGAATTTAAGTTATAGTTTATCTATCGTTTGTTAAACGAGCTGATAATATCATTTATGCCTCCCAAACCACCCCACCCCATCCTTTTGATATATTTACATAATTTGATGTGTATAAACAATATATCCACGGAGGCTATGTTTTTACATATTTCTGAAAATAGATATATAGATATGATTAGTTACATTTATTTGCTTAGTAAGTAAGCAGACCATATTACACAACACATATATATCTGTCCATAAACCAGCAAGGAATATGAAATATTTCCTACATTAATAAACAGTAAATAAATTGACTATAGAGTTTTTACTATTTGCAGCTGCAGCTGGAAGAAAACTTTTTCCACAACCACCCAGCCTCCTTGAAAAGGACAGTGGAGTTTGTTGCTGACAGAGTTGCCTCCATACACATCAAGAAATTTCGAAGCCAGGAACTGCCCAGGTTTATCAGTATTGGCATTGGTGCTGTTGGTGGAATGCTTTCTGGCACTGGAAGTGGTTCTCCTGATAACAGACTAAAAGTAAGATTATTTGTCTTTCTTTATTACAATGATAAAAACTTCTCTTTTCAAGAAACTGATTTCATGGGAGTTTATGTGGATGAAATTTTATACACTTGAAAAATAATCTTGATTTATGTCCACTGCTTTTTAAAACTGATTGTTATTATTATTTTATTAACAAACACCCGACTGGTATTTCAGACCAGACTAGAGCAGCAAGTCTTGGAGGTAGCGAGAAATCTGATGCAGACGGCCAGAAATGACATCGTTTCTTCTTTCACCGCATACTGCCAGCAGAAGACAGAAGCCATTTTACCAATGTTGCTTCCTGACGACACTGTGCCTCAAGTATTAGCAGTGTCCATGCAGATATCAGCAAGGTTGGCTCTGGAGAAGGTGACACATTGGTCCCAGGCACATCTCACCACCAGTAAGTTGCTTGCATGAGATTTCAGACTTGAATGGAATTTAGACTTTAGGCAGAATTGAGTTTTTTTTTTTCTGCAGAGACGATTGTTGGGAAACTTTGCATGTGCTGCTTGAAGTATTTTTTGTGCAAATAACCAGTTTTACAATTGAAGTAGGAGCCCTTTAGAAATAGTGTCTTTGTGTCTATCCTGTTTGACTACAGATTTGTAGAAAAGGTATTACAACCATTTGAGGGGAAAAAACTCAAAGAGAGCTTCCTGAGCATTTTTATTTAGACATATACTGTTATTCTTGATGTAATAATCAAATGTGTTGTTTTATGATTCTCTTTGCAATGTGAGAAGCCACTTGAAATCATCACATTGATTTGATTTAAAAACATCAAAATATATTTTATTATTTAAATAAGTTATAATTAAAATTGTTGATTGCTTGGTATAATTAACTTGTCTTATTGTTTAAAAAAAGTACTTCTTTAACTTTTGACAATGCATTGACTATTACAGACATGTTGAATAAAGAAATGACCTCTGAACTGGACAAACTGGTCAGGTCTATGGCCAGTGGCTTGGACAGCCCAGTTAGACCTGTGAAGGGTGAAAAGACAGTCCAAGTAGTCCATGGGAACCCTGCCATTGTAGTCCAAACCAAGGATGTATGTGCTGTGTCAGAAACAATAAATATGTTGAAGGTGGGTAAGGATTTTGTATTTCACAAACTATGAAAAGCAGTTTTTAACTTGTATATGTATCTGTATGTAGACTTTATTAAGATATATTTTTTCATTTTCTAAAAAGGTATGATCTTGTTATGTTAATTTTTGTTGTTGTTGTTGTTGTTGTTGACAATGCTATTGCTACCTGCTTAAGCCTGTTGCACTTCAGTCCCTTTTGCACTATCTGTAGGACTTTGTGCGGGACCTAGTTCTTGAGAAAGATGGTGTATCCTATCAGAGGATGTTGAAATTGTTGAGACAGACAAAGGACACGTTTTTTGGAACAGCTGTGAGTACTAGATTGGAATTACATTACAAAATTAGAATGAGTTTCTAGATGTAGCGACCAGACATTTTAATGCTAACCGGTTATGAAATGCTATTATATATGTGTCTCACTATTTATATATTTGTATCTAGATATTACTTGTTACTTTATTTATGTATTCTTTTTTATCTATAATTTATTTTTCTTTAACTCTTCAACAGTATCAAAAACTTTTTTTGTGTTTTGATCTCTTATTTTACTTATGTATAATTATGTAGAAAGATTTTTTGTACAGTTAAAGATTTAAGTAAAACTTTTTATTACTTGATATCCATAGAACATATTCCCATTGGCATATAAGACAGTAGCTCTGCTCTGGTTGGACTTAGCTGTATCATGTGGTAAGTTGTCTTTTCTGTTTCTTATATTAGGTTATATTTTGTAATATAATAAACAAACAAATCAGATTTCTTGCTTTGAATACTGAACACTAGTTTGTTTAGATTGAAAACATACATGTTATCAGATGTTGTTGCTGTGTAAAGAGGTGAAAATGCTGTTAGGGTATGAGATTTTGAAACTTCAGGATGATCTTTATTTATCTTTTTATTCTCAAAGAATCAGTTTATTAGTTAAGCTTTTTGGGCTATTTTTTCTTTTAAGATGAGTGTAATTTCTGTTGAAAAGTTTCTCTAGTATATAAGGAGAAGCAGATGTGGGTTTTAATACTAGATTATGCAACTGAAATATTCAACTTGTCTTTTCTTTTGTTCGTTTTTGCAGCAATATTCAAACCCCCCTACATAACTGAGGAAAGTTTAGGAGACTTGACTGCACTGTGGCAAGGTCCACTGAAGCAGCATACATCCTTTTGTCAAGTCATATGTGCCAAGTATGTTCATTTACTGATGACCAAATCCAAGGTGCTTCAGGTAAAATTTCATCCATTTTTTATGAAGAATTATGGTGCAACTTTACCTGTTTTTTTTTTTTTTTTTTGTTTTTTTTTAGTTTAAGAAGGTTATGATTAAGCACAAGTCATTTAGTTGTATCATTTAAGAGATATAACGGTTGTGTCTGCCTTGGTGGATTCCGTATGTGAGTATACGTGCATTTGTTGACCCAGACTTCATATATTTGTTCTAGGAATCTTGGAACCAATATGCATTTCTACTCAGACATCTGTTAAATCAAGAACTTCTGACTTGGGCAGATGTAAAAGAGGCTGGGTTAAAGCTTCTTCAGCACAACCTTCCAAAGGTAGCCATGAATGCAACAAAAAGAAAATGATAAATTTTAACATTTATGTATAACAACTCGCTTCTAGACATACCTTATGGCATTTTGATTTATTAAACTTGATTTCAAGATCCATATGATACATTTTTCAGAGTAAAAGTTGTTACAAGCATCATATTTGCTTTTTTGAAAATTAATCAGTTTCAAATCGTCAGATATACTAAAGGTGGTTCTTGAATAATAATTAATTTTGTCATTTCAGGACTGCCTTGAATTGTTTGCAGCTTGTATCTGTGATAGTTGTAAAGTATTTAGCGAAGACAAAACAATGGGAACAATAGATTGCCTGGAATTATTGAATAGTTTAGACCAGGAATGTGCAAACTGTTCTTCTGTAACAATACAAGCAGTAAAAGATTGCATTTCAATTATCAGTGAACAGCAGTTGCTACAGGATACCAAATGTACGACTGAAAAAATGGCAGAAATAGCAGATATTGGAGCTACTACAGGTAATACTCTGCATGACACTCTGCATCCAAAAGATGAAAAACACCAACCCAAAATTATGGCAGATGAGCAGGAACAGAATAAAAATCCAATTAAAGTGGAGTGTGATTGTGTTCATACAGAGAAGTATTGCCAGAAATGCACTCTTTGTTTCAACAAAGAAAATCAAACAGAGATTTCATCTTGCGATAAAAAGATACTCCCAAAAGTGGACAGTATGCAAGTCAAGATTGCAGGAATTTGATACTGGGTTTTTTTAAGTAAACCCATGAAATGTATAATTGTTGTTTTGCTCATAACTTCAGTTGTTAAGGAGAACATTGAAAAATGCACTATTGAATTGGCATGCTTTCTGATTATTTATTTCTCAAAGAATATTATTTCTGTCCATTATGGACATAAACATACACTTATATACAGCAAAAATTTTTCATTAAGCTGACCATTTCATTCTTTGAACAGTATATTGTTTTTGATGAATTGGAGTTGAAAAGTGGTGCTTAATGTAATTTTGAAAATTATTTGCAATATATGCTTGTTTTAATCCCAGCATTCCATATGTTCAAAATGAAATGGTGCTATACTCACCTATTTATTTCCATTTATTGAAAAAATTATTCTAATACGCTTAACACCATATAATACAACCATATTTGCTATTAATGTTGATGGGCTACTTTATTGTACTAAATTATATCTTACATAAGACCAGTGCCTGCTATGAAAGCTAAGAATAAAAAGATAATTTACAATATGAAGGATTTATGAAGTTTTTTTTTTTTCGTTGAAAATGCGCTTGTTTATCTTACAAACTTTCTTTTGCCGGCTGGACCCACTTCCCCTGGAGTGTGTAAAACCATGTCTTGTCCGAAAAATTGGTACATAGTTTTTGCAGCTTAGACAGTACATATCCTTTATTTCATTGAATATAAATTTCTCGAAATTGTCTTTTGACGAAAAGATCTATTTATGGTTACTGTCACAACTAATTAAAAGTGAGAAATGATCCCTTCCACTCTCTATATACTGTATATTTGGATACACTATTTTAAAGGTGCAATACGGTAATCAAAATGCCTTTTTAGCACTCATAAGAGTAGTATTTATCTCTGTATTCCTCACATACTTTGCGTTTTTGAATTGCTCCCTTTTTCGCCTGTGCTGAAGAAAATTGTAAAAGAGGCAGATTTTTCTTTTGGTGCAGCACCTTGGTGGCATGGTCTGACTGAACCTATAACATCAAACATAAAAACATATGTCAGTCTTACAACACAGAAAATATGATAAGATTATGAAATGGACAATGGTATTTGTTAAGGGCACTTGTTAAATTATAAAAAAACCTTCTTCAGAGCATTGATCAACTAATTTAAGAAATCCTGTTGAAATTAAAAACAAATATGGATAGACCCTGTAGACCATGATATTAATATTCTCAAAGTAAAATAATTTACATTTCCAGCAAAACTATTCTCAAGCATCTGATGGAAATCCTTTGTCTCCACTTCAAAAATGTATCCCTCTTCTATTTGACTTGATGTTGTAGCGCCTCTTGCAAATAACCTCTGTACACTTTCCCTGAAGAAAAAAATTGGGCTTTGGTTAAAAGATGGTTCAGTCATCCTAAATAGTCCATTTTTTTCCTTTTTGATAGCTTGTACTAGTGCACCAAATAGATACTTGAATAAAAACAATGCATGTTATATGCCTTATTTGGCTTAAACAAACATTTAAGAAAAAAAAAAACAGATTATGTGGGTTGAAAAGATAAAGGTTGTTTCAAAGTATTGGATGATTTGTTTAGTTAATAAACTTGACATGGTCCATAGAGCCTGACTATTTGAAAGAGCAGGAAAACTGTCTCAAATGGACCATGGTACCGCCTGCCTTGCTACTTACAGGTCCTCCCTGGCCTCTGCACATTGGCCTGCCTGGGCCATGGCGGCAGAACGCTGCACTGCAGCCACTCCTCGCACTGCTACATTGACATTCTGAAATGATGAATGTGTAAGTGTGAGTTTATTATAAATACTAAACACTTAAGTTCTGAAATATCTATATGTTTGTTCAGAGTATCACTAAAAATATTTTTGTAGGGTTATGGTCAAAAGAACAGCTAAAGAAATAATTACAAAATCCAAAAGTCATTCTTACAGGTAATTTTGTTTTTTTGTATCTGCTTTGTTCTAAAAAGATGTTACCTTTTCCATTTCTTCTCGTTTACTGGTTACTTTATGCATCTTTCTCATGACTCTTAAACACTTCGTGCCATCAGGTTTGGTGTACTTGATTTGGACCTAGAATATTTTTACAATGAAAATATCAGGACTCCTGGCTTGCAAAGATATGGTAATATAATTATTAGAACATAAGCACTTTCTCTTATAGAACAAATTTTAAAACAAAGTAGATAGGAGTATAATAAGGTGTCATATGAAAGTCATAAAACAGAGAAGTCCAAAAACAGACATGGTGAACTAAGACTTTTCAAAGAATGACTGCCAGTTGAAAAAACTGGATGTTTGTTAGCACCCTTCTGGTACTTGCATGTAATCCCTAACTCAAGTAAAGTGAGCAGTTGGACTGAGTAAATTGATAAAGATCGTTAACCCTGATGTTTCACTGGATTCAATCTATCTATACTCCCTAGGTTTAATCTTTAAATGGTTTCAGTTTATCCGTTCCTCTTTTAGGCCTACATTTTGGCCACACACACACACACACACACACACACACACACACACACCTGGAATGGGAGCTGATCCATATTGAGAGGCTTGTTGTCATCTCTGGCCTTGAAGCTGTATGTCAAGTCCATTGCCTTAGTGACATTCCCTATGTCCTGCACCCACATGTTTTCATCCTTAAAAAATAAGATATCAATTAAATCTTTAACAGTACATAAAATGTGTTACACAAAAATATCTAGTTGATAATTTAAATGTATGCATTTTTTAAAATACATGTCATTAAATATTTACCTTGTCCTCAAACTTCAAAGATGGATGCAAAGCAAATGCCACTTCTACATCTGTTGCAACAACAGGATTCTGGTAGATTAATCTCAGTTGCCTTGACAACTCGTGTGGTTTTAGTATGTTGACAGTTCCTCCCGAGGCTGCAACACATTGGCTGACGTTATGCATCCCACTGCTCTCCCCCTCCGTCCCAATGATGGAAATGGTAGCACACATGTTTCTAGCTAATGACCCAATCTAAATGTTCAAAATTAAAAACTGTGACTTAAGTGTCAGTGTATATGATTGGTTGGATCAGTTGCTACTTCGTATCCTACCCACTTTTTAATTAACTTAGAAAGTAAAATGATTAAACTATATTCTTTAACTGAGGGTTCAACCATGGTATAAAACACAATAAAAGAGAATATACATTCTGGTTTTTCCCTTAAGAAGCTAGACATCCTGCCGTTAAAATGATTTTTAAAGGATGGTGTTAAAATAGATTATTCAAATCCTTGATAAGCCCTTACTGTGAAAAGATAATACCAGTGAAAGAAAAAATGCCAAGATATTTTTCAAAACGCCAAGATGTAATTCTGATTCCCAAATATCTTAAACAGAAATAAAACATATTTTACCTTGCCGTAAAATTCATCATCATAACCTTTGCAACCGACTCCAACATTGGGCTCTCCATCAGTACAAAGGATTATCTCAGATTTCCTGTCTTTGAACACCAGCCCAGTGGCCACTGCCAGAGCTGGTCCTAGGGCAGTGGCACCAGCTACCTTGAAATCCTGGATCATTGACTCTGCTGTACTGTAATAATCAATATAGTAATTATACTTGTGTATCATTTAACCAATTCTCACAAATATTTTTGTGAATGTCCAGCTACTGTACAAGTGCTACTGCTTATAATAAGGATGACAGACAAAACTGTATGCAAAAAAATTGCTCTGCAGATTTATTGTTTTAAATAGTTTTATGAATGTCCAACTGCTGTGCTACTGGTTATTAAAAAGGATGAAAGAAGAAACAGTATGCAAAAAATTACTCTACAGATCATTCATTTAGAATCATTTGTGAACATAAATCAGTATTGCCATAAATATTCATAATTTGGTTTCAATTGCTTCTCTGACAACTCTACCCTTTGTGTGAAAGAGTGAGGCTACATTTTGTATGCATAACATTAATAAATACATTTTAAAAGCCTTTGTCACACACAAACACATACACACAAATCACCAACCTAAATGACTGGGAAATAGGATCCAGGTTCATTCCATTGGCCAAATTCATACCATATTCCACCAGCTCATCATAGCTGTTTAAATATGAACTGGGTACCAAGTACTTATTCACTTCTCCCTTATTGAATAATATCACTGTAACCTCCCCACTGAAGATGATGAAGGCAACTGGTTTCTCTGGTTGATCCATATTCAACATTTCCAGTTGTCTGGAGGGCAAAAAAGGCTCAGTTTAGGGTTCTTCTACATTAAACCTTATACTTTGTAACATCTTTTTTCTCATAATGTGCTTTTTTTTCAACTTTTCATATCCCACATAAAAGACATAAAACAATCATGTACAGCCAATTTAATAGTTAATGAATTGGCAAGCTGAGGGGGGAAAAGTTTAAAGGAGGAAAAAAGGTGTTACAGAGTGCTACAAATACATGTATGACCCTTTCATTGTTTTTATACTCAATATGTTAGTTGTTACTGAAACAAAGTACATGAGGAGGAGAGATAATCCCCAGTTTTAATTTATACTACTTGTATTTTTAGCAACATTTATACTTATAATAAAATGATTGTTGAATAAACACTAAGGCAGAGCAGGAAATATTTCAAAACTGATAGGGTTTGCAGAATAATATATATATCTTAAACAAACAAAATATACTTTGTACAGAACTCATAATTCACCTTGATTCTTTAACAAAAGACTTAAATTAGACCCTGCAAAGATGCTCTTAGAGGTAGTAATTTTTTCCTACTTTCTAAAATTTGTCTTGTAAATTTCTAGTGGTTTAAATGAATTAGGCAAAACAAGCAGACTCTGAACATAACATCTCAAAGACAATTAAGAGGATTTTACAACCTACTTTTTAGTCTTTTTAAATGATTGCCATCGAGGTCAAATACTCAGAAGCTCACCTTATAGCTGCAATCTTCACACATTCCAGTCTGGAGATATAGAGGGAGTCACTTGAGCCAGGATTTTTCTGCTTTAGGTTTTTCCACTCAGCTGAAATAAATGAAAAAATAAACATAAAGGTGGAGATAGAAAAATATGAAATGTCTTTAGCTAAGGTTGGGAAATGTAAATAAAAAACACTTTTAAACATTTTATCATAATAAATATTCAATCAAAAAGTGTGGCAGGTGATTAAGCCTTCCATATAAAATTAACGATTCACTTTATTTTTCAGGTGGTTTAGACTGTGATAAAGGTGCACTGTAACACATGTGACAAATTATTCCATTTTCACCTTGTAATGCAGGCACAGGTGTAGTGCTTCCCATAGATCCACTGATATCAAAACAATACACCACTATTCCAGGTAAAGTAATTTTCTTCTCCAGCAATTCCTCATTATCTGTGCTGGGTTTTGTTGGTGGAGAAAGTATGTAGTCAACAGTGTCACTGCTGGGGAGAGCCTTCTGGTTCATGTCAATGTTCTTGTTTTCATTGCCACAGAATTCACTGAATAAAAAATAAAGTGTGACATGCTGAATGCTTTAACTTTAAAAACATGCTATTACCTTCTGTTCTCTCTCTGTGGTGGTTGCATAAGTAATGGTGTAAAATGTGTATTGAACAAGTTACTTTGAAATATGGTTCTGTGCTTATGTAGGTAAACTTTTTAACAAAAAGAAAGAATGAAAGAGAGTAAGATTAAACAATCAAATTAAAACTATGTACCAGACACATGTCATTGTCCCATCGCCATTCTGTTCAACTGCAGATAAAGGTGACAGCACCACAGAACATGTGTTGCACATCACTGGACACCCCATCACTTGGTCTTCCTCCTCCTCAAGAGCCCCCAGGTGCAGTAACACCACATTGCAGTCAGCTCTTTGCTTGTATACATTCTTTACTGGATTCTTAGGTCTCTTCTTGATGGCACTGCCTTCAGAAAGATTATTGAGCTTTGCCTCTTTCTTAGTTGCTTTTTGACTTCCGCAGCAATTTAACCACTTGAACATCTGAAACCTCGGACCCCTGTTCAGTCTTTTTCCTTGTGATTCATCAGCAGATCCTGTAAATTTTAACAAATTCCTAACTACATTCTAAGCTTATGCTGCATCTCAATAAGAAATGCAAACTTGACAGTATTCACAATGATGACATGGAAATGGAAACTCTTTTTTTCTTTTTTCATTGAAATATGTTTTTTTTTCTGATTTAATATACAAGAATAAAAAAATAAAATCATTACATTTCTTTGTTATCTTTAGTTACAAAGATTTGGTGAAAATGTGTTATGCATGATGTAAAGCCTTACTTGTCTCTACTTCCTCTAGTCCATCTATATTGACCATTTTTCTGTAGGAGTCCTCTATAGTCGGGTCATAACTCTCCACAAACATGTCTGTTGTGTAACGCACTGTAAGGGAAGACTTGCCCACGCCCCCACTCCCCAGTACAACAACCTTAAAAATAATGGGGACTTTTTGTGAAAAAAGAGCCAAAATAAAGTTCATGAATAATTGCCTTGACAATATAATTTATATATAAATAAATATAACCCTCAGAAGGATTTTCAAAACATGGCATATAGAAGATCATACCCAATCTTCATTTTTTTTTAAATATGTGAATGTTTGAAGTTATATAATGAAGTTTTTTCCTTTTTCCTTAAATTAATAAATAAATGAATAATTAAACCTCAGATGGATTTTAAAACCTGCATGGAATTATATCATTATTGACCAATGACAAGAGAATAGTAGGAAGTGCAATGATACTAACTTTATGTAATGGCTTAATGATGAGTTGCTTTATGATTTCACTGTAAATTACAGTGGTACTTAAGGGTTTAATTAAGATGTAAAGCAAGATACTTGCAGAAGATACATCTAGAAATGAAAATAATTATGTTTAACTTAATCTTATTAATTAAGCCTATGGCGTTGCTGCAAAATGTCAAAAGGTCAACGTGCTAAATTTGAAATAATTATTCTGCAACTCAGTAACCAGTATCTAATGTATCATGGACCCAAGATCTGATGTAAATTTAAAATAATTATTCTGCAACCCATCTGATGTATCATGGACCCAATGGAATTCTTATTACCTTGTATTCTGATCTCTTCCCATATTTTCTTGCTGTTTGTAATACCAACTCCTCAAATGCGTTGCTCACATTTTCACCTGTTTTGGCTGAAGTTTCATGGAACAAGATATCACGTTCTTTTGCTGCCTTCTCTCCCTCAGCTGTGCTCACTTCACGTTGGCCGATTAGATCAATCTTGTTTCCAACTAGAATCTGTAAATTAGATTTGGATATATTTTTCTTCTAATTTATGGGACAATTTTATATTTAGATTCAATGCATCTAAAAATCAAGCTTAATTCTTCTTAAGTAAAAACATGTTAACTTTGGTACCTTTTCTTCATTACTGAAAATATAAAATTTAAATCATATTATTTAATTAAGCAGTTTATTACTTTAAATTAAAGTAGAGTTCTCAATAAAAAACAAATGCTTACTGCTGCTGGTTTGGATTCATCCCCCATTGAACATCTGATGCGTTGTAACCACGTATACATGGCCAAAGCTTCTTGAAAGCTATACTGATCACAGACATCATATACGATGACAAAACACTGGCCTGATCTGACATAAAGTTCACGCATTGAAGAATATTCTTCCTGCCCTGCTGTGTCCAAAATATCCAGAAAACAAGTCTGAAATTTTACCATCCAGCTTTTAGTTGTAAATAAATATAGTTATTATTAATAAATTAGAGATTTTTAAAAATTGAAGAAGTTACATTAATCAGGCATGAGTGGCAATCTTCATTTTATTAACTTAAACTAACATATAATTGAAATAACCTTCGGAAAAAGCAACTTATGAACTATGATGTTATGCCAATGGTTTAAAAAGAGATCGAGTCATCAAGGATATTGAAGTTAAAACATGTAAAATGTGTGTAAATTTTGTTAAGTCACATCTTTTTAGATTGACTAAATGAAGTTGCCTTTTCCAGGCAAATTTGACTTTCAATCCCATTGTTTCTCAGATTTGATTCAATTTTTAAAATACCTTGACAAACATATGTTCTTTGCATGTTGGAAAAATTACCTACCTTACCAACACCTTTCCCATTTGAAAAATTATTCCTATTTAAGGCTGTATCCACTGAGAATTCTGATTTTTCCATCACAGTCACCTCTTCTAACTGTTCAGACTCACCAGAAGGTGATACGTACACAAATTCACTGCCGAACTCCATATTTCTTTATACCTGCGAAAAATAAATAACATACATGTACATATTCACTTACGAAAGTTATGGAAGATAAATAATTTTCATTTTATGAATAAAAAATATTTACCACATAGGTCGGGGCTGTAGCAATAGTCCAAAGGTTCAATGGTCAGAAGGTTTAATGAACCCTTCATTAAAAAAACGATGAAAATGTTACCATTTTTCGGACCAATGAACCTTCGGAGCAATGAACCTTCGGGCTATCTAGACGCCCCCACTGCAACTGTTCTACATGTATAGCATAATTAGGTTTGGGCAAATAACTATAAATATTCTGAAAAAAAAGTTATCTTTATGCCCAAGTTTGACAGCGAGCACAATTATTTTGAATTTTATACTCTGCAATTAGATTTGGGGTTAAAGCAGTAAGACCCCCTTTGTTTGCTCTTAAAAACCATTTTGAATGGGTTTTCCAAATCCTAATTGTTTATGTCAAAGATTATAAAACCTAATTCTAATAACTATACTGGTACATTTGTACCGTAACTATTAGTGCACAGAACAAATAATGAGCTAGTAGCAAATGAAATCAAATCAAATCTATTCAAATTGCCTGTATTGCGTACATTGTGCACAGCAGCTGCTGAGAAGCAATGGTGAATTTAAAGTCCAGAAGAATATGCACTGTAATGAAAAGTTTTAATAATTTTAGGATGCTAGCAGATATCTTAAGATTCAACTGAAACAAAGCAAAATTTTGTGTACTGGTTTGGACCTTTTTGGAAAAATTTGCAATAAATGAAGACATCTTGGAGTAAATCTTTGTGCTGAATGCTGGAGGGATATTTTTGACTGTTTTAGTGGGTTACTTGACAGAATTCTGACAGTGATGGTCTTAGCCTCAGCAATGCTAACACATAACGCTTTTAATTACCATGTGTCATGACCAATACAATATGTAGATAAGAACTACACCTCGCTGGTATAATGTGAGGATATGTAACTCATTAGCTCACATTAGTGACATTACACACATCAGATAAATTGGTTGACACGCAAGTAGCTTAATTGGTTGACCGGCAAGTCGGTGGCAAGTCGGTTAGACTCTGGATGTGCAGATTCCACTCACTGTTTTTCATTTATCATTAATTATCTTCAACGAGAGAAAACAGATATAAAATTTTGAAAATATTCTGAGTAAAACTCGCTTAAATTGAGCCGTCTAAATAGGACATACGTTTAACATTTGAATATACGCGTGTAAATGCAAGGACCCGGTCGTTTTGCTATGGGTGACAAGCTGGCTTTGTAATATGTGACAGCAATTAGCAACATAACATAACAACAGTGCCACTCTTAAGAAACTTAATAGTGGGTGTCATTTTATCATTCGATTACGTCTAAATGGCACACTTAATTGGGTGGTGACACTTAACAGACTGGTGTGACTTGTTTTATGTCAATGGTCGTCATTCTGAATCTTAAATTGCTAATTTAAAGAGGAGGGAAACAAACGTAAGCAGATATTACATTTTGCTGGCTGGTCAGTTTGAAAAACCTCACTTAAATATTTGTAAAATTTATGACGGAAATAAGTCAGTGATAAGTGATGGTGCTAGCTTTTCCCAAATTTCCTTTTACTTCCCACTTCCTCAATAGACCACGTTTATCACATGTATAGCTTATACTTTCTGGCTACAAAAGCCCTTATATATAAATATATATACTTTCTGGTTGCAAAAGAAGAAATGTTAATGATTTATGACAAACGGACATGCACAAAGCGTAAAATTTGAGCTGCATGTAAATTTTTTTTCTTTGAAATAAAATAAATAAATATACAAAAAATGAAAATTGAGAATAAATATATAAAAGGTAAAGAAGAATTTGGTGTGGCTGTAAATAGGTATGTAAAAATCAAAGAGTTTCAAATCAACTTTATCAAAGAATCATTTTGATATGACACTTAAAATATCATTCATGTCAGTAAAACGTTATCATATCGATTTTGGGCTAAACTCTCCTCAGATTTCTCCTTTCTATATAATACAATATAATACAATAATCAAAGCACGTTGAAAAGGGTTCGTAAAGCTTTCAACTGAACCGTGATTCCGGCACACACTGACCACACACATCAATATTGGATCAAAGCAAAAATTATTTCCAGGTATTTTTATTGTAACGTAACGTGTTATTAGCAATCGTGAAATAAAATATATATAGCTTAACTATGGATAAATAAAAAAAGGTGCATTTTTTGCGTGTCAGATAATTTCAACGGTCGTATCAGGCTAATTATTTCACTCCTGCCGCATTGACCTGTGTATATCCCACGTGTTAAAGTTGAGCGCTTGTGGCAACCGATGCTTGTCGCCAGTGGTTGGCCTAAATTCCATTCTCGAAATAACTCGAACGCTGATTGGCTGATCTCCTAAAAAGGAATTTGTGACCCACCCATTTTGTCAATGAAATGACGTCAACATAAGTAAACTTACTACACAAACTCACTTCCGAGGCAGTTGAATCATTGCTTTGAAGCGAAAGGGGAACTTTTTTGGAGTTCTCTGCCATATCAGCAGTTTTTAACATCCTTTTTGGCAGAATTCAATACTGTGTCAACACTTGGATCGTTGTTAGCGTGACCGAAGGACGTGTACTGTGCCATTAAGTGGAGATTCATATCAACAGTAGTTCTATTATCACTGAATAGACCGGAGCACGTGTGTTCAGCTAGTCAAGGCTCGAAGATGCAGAGGGAAAAGCAGCGTTCTGTGAAACACAGGCCAAAACAACAGCAGAGTGGAAGTGAATTAAACCGCCGAAGTTTTCCACCGGCCATGATTGACACCAGAAACAAGAATCATATTAAATGTATGGTGATCGGGGATGGAGCCGTGGGGAAAACGTGCATGCTAGTTAGCTACACCACAAGCAGATTCCCCTATCAGTACAGTCCCACAGTCTTAGACAGTTACACAGGTAAGGAGACCTTTTAAAAAGAAATAATTTACGATTCACATTTTAAATGTCATCGTTGATATAGTTAGGACCTTTGGAGAAACAAAATGTACTTTACAAAGAATGAAATATTTCTGTCGCCATGTTTCGTTACTTCTAATATCCGCCTTCATGATGAAAATTAGAAAAATGCTGGCTTGGTCATTTGAATAAACGAAAAAAGAAATAATTTTCAATATGATATTAAGATTTTATGAATTGGTTGTTTTTGGGACCATGTAACTGGAAGGTTTTTTTAGAGGTTACATTTAGTCCTGGTATCTTCTGTATGCGATTGTGTAGCTGATAGTGTGGTAATCATTTTCCTCAATCTGAACTCATTCATCTCTCGTAATCAGTACACGATGTGATCTACTGCTGCCTTTGTTTATCTAACAATTACCAAAATTAGGCTATTATCCTAAATATTTGCCAATATCTCGGCATCAGCGGTGTTTTACCTTGTTAAGAAGGTGGTAAAGCAAACAATCAGTCCTTTCATAGATCAGTAATGCCATTATAACCTGATGAGTGGACCGAAAGAATTTTACTGCTTTCAGCCGTGGGAAATATTCATTTGTCTGGAGGTATTTAGGCATGTCTGTGCCTCTAGTGTGGTGGTTGTCGGAGGCTTTTGTTTGTAGGTGTTCCACATCTTTTGTCCAGCGAAAACCGCCAGGTCTCATTCAAGAGGACTAATTTCCTTTACAATGTCTATCAAAAGAGCACACGGTAGTTTAGAGACAAAGGCTTATAGGTACAAACAATAGAAATCATTACTCTGTTTCCTATTAGGGAGCTGATGTAAAACACGTTTGAGGTATGGGAACTTCTTAAATACTTGTGGTATTTTATGAATGAAGACCTCCCGACGGCCTCCGACGTTGCACCGAAGTACACCCCATTTATCAGTATGCGAGATCTCCAGATTGCTGGTGCTTACGAGACCCCCCAATTTAGCGCTTGGTCTAGCTCTTCATCCAAGACAATTAAACCCCATTATACTTTCAAAGGTGGATTATCAGTGCGATAGCAAACGCGATTTTTGCCCTTGTATTAATGTGGTAATCTTCCCTGAGAGACCTGGTCCCTCAGCCAATGGTGAAGTATAGGGAAGCGTGCTTAAATGACTAATCATTAGAACAATGCTAGGCTTTTATTCTATCGTCTTCTGGTATTTTGTAAGTCGTGACCTAAGCTGCAAGGTGTAATCAAATATTCAGGGCGGTCCTTTGAACCACCAACACCAGGTAGTAATAGGATACAGACTTGGACCACAACTTCTGTGCTAATACAAACACTGCAATTGTTGTAATGTCTTCCGGTGATTACCAATCCAATTGATTTCGATTTGAAAGAGAAATTGTTTCTAAAGCGTGATTTGGGATTATGAAAATTTTCTTGAGTGGTTTTGAAGAAGGGCGTGTGTTAAATATACAAAAGGTCTCGGGCTTACAAACTCATTCAGAACATTGTAAGATAAACACACTGCTTTATAACATTTCGACCCATATCGTTTAGACACAACGGCCCTTTTCTTAAAAAAAAAAACACAAATATTAAAGCATTAATTAAATATTAAAAACATTTTAATTGAAAACCATTTCTTTTTTCCAGCACGAGTGTCAGTGGACGGACGGCCCTACGTTTTAGAATTAATAGATTCAGCAGGCCAGGTATGTGTTGCCTCTTTCTTTTCTCTCATTCTCATTTGTATGCGTAAAGTAATAAAGGCCTTATTGCTTGGGTGCATTATAAGGGACTAGTTCAACTTGTTCTTCGCGATTAAATAGTGATGATGTACATCAGATACCCTATCTCTCAGTTAATTATTGCATGATGTTCGTTTCAACTGACTATTGTTCTCATTCTATAGACCAAGTCATAAAATACAAGTCACTGCAGTGCTTTTTTATATCTGCCAGTCATTTACCTATTAAAAACAAATTTCAAATATGCTCCATAATCAAAATATGCTGTATCCGTGTAGAAATCTAGATCAAAATTCCAGATAATGCATTCTTTACGCATCCCTTGTCCTCAAAAAAAAAATAAATGGACAGGATATGATATTTGTTTCCTTTCTGATATTATGGGTTCATCCTAACAAATACCTAGACAGTGAGATCATAAACATTGCCCTCTAGACCGGTCAGCCTATGTCCCACATATACATGTATGGAAGTGTAGGCAAACTGGTTATGATTCAACAACACGCAACATGAGAGATACTAAGGATACTCCCCTTGTTTGGCAAACGTTATGAATCCTTACTTTGCCAGTGCACTCTTGGCTTAAACGAATCAGTTGATCTGTTTTATTGTTGACAGAAAGGGAAGAACTACATTTATTTATACAGACTACTATTTTGCCACTTGTTCAACATAACTCCTGTGAAGAAAACTTTTTTCTCATAAATCGATTCACCACGAGCATTTCACTCAATTTGTTCCACTTGTAAATTCATATAAATATTTACTCCAACCACTTCACGTATCCTCATCGACATCCGGCACCAAGCTCATAAATCACAACCAGAGAGAGCAGCCATTGTAAAAAAATACGTCGTCAAATTCTTTATCTATTGTATGTTTTCATTACGGGACAGCCCCTTTATTTTGCGCCCACAGACCAACACGATCTTTTTATTGAATGTTCTCAAGTGCTTAAAGTGCCTGGTCATGCACGTGGAAATGCCTTGGATGCCACCCTTTGTATTTTGAAATATTCTGACAATGTATTTTACGCAATTTTGGGTGTATCTGTTTCGTCTTTAAATAGAGAGTTTTTGAATTATCGACGGCAATGCGGGAGGGAAGACGAAATACTATCAGCTTTTTATTTTCACGTCAACACCAAACGCCTTCGTAATTGAGAGTTCCAAATAAAATTTTCAGGACAGAGCCATAAAATTTTTAAAAAATTGTACCAGTAATCAAATTAATTGAATGTCCTTCATTTTATGAATATATATTTTTTAATAATGATGTTAAAAAAGAACCATTTGGGATGATATAAGCTTTAAAAAACAGTGAACTTAGGATTCTTATCGTGGCCAAACCAATAAGAAATTCCGCTGAGTTTTTCCTCTTGGTGTGGAGCCAACGTCCCGGCATTTCCTGTAACGTGTAGGCATCTTGGTGTGATTTCAACCGCCGAACGTATCAAGAATGTCACACTGAATCACACCGCCCAGTGCTAATGATGCGTGGGAAACAAACCTAGCATTAACTTTGCGGTTTGTTTGTCTGGACCTCTGTCTTTAGAAACAACGCTCTGCTTCAACAGCGAGTGGAATTTTGTTTTTATTTTTAATGAAAACTTCAGTTCCGACTTTTCCGTAACAATAGCACTGAATAGTGAGGTTTTAATTAGTGCTTTGCTTGCTGCCCAAACATTATCCGATCACGTTGTTCATTCATTCTGAATTCCAAACTGTTATTAATTATATACAATTATTTGTCTTTGCAGGATGATTACCAACATATTCGAATGTTGTCTTACAAGTCAGTCGACATTTTCCTCGTGTGTTATTCAGTGGTGGATCCGGCTTCATTCAACAACCTCAAAGACAAGTGGATTCCAGAAATGAAACATTACGGTCCACAAGGCACACCGTTTGTTGTCGTTGGAGCCCAAGCAGATCTCAGAGAGGACAGAGAGACAGTAGAAAAGCTTCACAGAGAGAAAGAAAAGCCAGTTTCATTTCACCAAGGAGAAAAATTAGCAAAGAAATTCGGTGCTGACGCTTTTATTGAATGTTCATCTCTAACACAAAGAGGACTACAAAGAGTCTTTGAGCAGGTTATAATGGGTGCTTTGTCACCAAGGAAAACAAAAAAGTCATCTAAACCCAGTAAGTTCTTTGGGATGGTTTCACTGTGTTTGGACAATTTAAAACACAAGATTTCAGGACATAAAGAAAGCGGCAGTGCTAACTCTTCCACTGCCGGCAGTGACTCAGATCTAGTGCGGATTTACACTGGCAATTCAACACGGCGGTAATATGTCACTTATATATACATCCGCGTAAGAATCTCTACGGTATCATATATGTGACTCTTTTTTATTTAAGGTGGATTGATGAAATCAAACTTACTGTAATCTGAAGATATGTTACAGCGAAATATACGTGTTCTATCAGCTTCAGTGCTTGCACTTTCAGCCAAAGAGAGACGCAATTTCTTCAGCATTATTCTGTTTATAAGCACTGGTTGTGATAACCTATACTACGCAAGAGCAAACTATTTAATGTAAATATTGAAACTTGTATTACTCTCTGTATGTTACTAATTTATTTGTAAACAATACAAGAATAGAAATATTATTAGAGTTTGTGTTGATTCTCTTATCGAATTTAAATAGATTAGGTGTCTAAGTAAAAAAAAGGTTTATAGTATAGCCTTTACTGCAAGTTCCTCTCAATCCATACAATACAATATTTTTCAACACTCCAAATTAAAACTCATCTAGCAAGACGTTATACTCCGGAATAAGTAATATAAAAAAGAAATAGATTATCGGCAAAAAGTATTAATTTGATCTTCAGCCTCGCATTTCGTAAAATATAAGATTATGAAGCAACGCTTGTTTTGAGCTATAAAATCTCCACGGATCTTAAATGATGATTCATAAGTTGTGTTCGGCATGTTGGGCTTTAATCAAAGTTAAAATGAAACTATACAGGAAGTAAGCATAAAATTTATATCCCAAAAGTAGGTGACGTTAAACATATCCAACTAAAACCCCCTTTACACTGGGCGGCGTCCTCTCTGTGTCCCGTAGTACGACCCCGTTCGAGAGTAAAAAAAAAAAAATACTTTACGTGCCGACAACTGGCCGACCATTGAGCATTCATTCTGCAACGTAAGCGATGCTTGTGTGCTCCTGTCTACGACCACAGCGATGCCAGTTTCATGGTCGCACGAAAGACGCAGAGAGGACGCCGTCCAGTGTAAAGGGGGCTTAAAGAAGTACAACAGAACAAATAATGTTCACATTTTGCTTACAGGGTTCTATTCGTCTCCACACACATCTTACTAAATTGAATATTAATACCGTGCATATAATTTCTTAAACCACTATCCCTTCCTGGAAGCAAATTGTTTGGAAATTTACACGCGATAGATGGGGATTTCCTGGTTAATTTGCAATTTTCAATAATAGAAAACAAATGATGTGAGTTATATTGGAGTCGTTAGATTTGGCATCGGTTCAAGTGTATGTATACATAACAACTGTAATGTAAATGTACTGATAAAAGACGATCATGTCAAAATCAACTAAAACGAAAGTAAGTTTAAACAACAGAGTGTAACTCTTTAAACAACATGCGCTACAAGCACAATGGTACCTGCTAAAAACGAAAGTTAGTCATAGTTTTTATTAGACCACAAAAAATATTATGAATAGTATGCTCCCAATATAAGACTTCTCATATCCAGTATCAGGCAATACTAGGACTGCTGTTTTACGAGTACTATGTCCAGTAACTGTATTAAGTGTACGGTGGTCGGGGACGGCGCCGTGGGGAAAACATCCCTGTTGGTCACCTACAGTACAGGCTCGTTTCCCACGGATTACGTACCTACAATTTTTGACAGTTATGCAGGTAATCATTTAATTCCTTACCATATATATTACGATTTAATATTTCTTTTTCAAAGTTAAAAAGAATGAAAAAGTCCTTTACTAAAGGTAAATAATACGTTGAAGTATTTAAATAATTCCGTTTAATTTTTTTTTACAGTAAATGTGGAGATAAAAGGACGTGCTGGCCCATTTAAACTGAGCTTGTTTGATTCCGCGGGACAGGTGAGATAACTACTCCAACGATTATTGATAGGCTTTAAATATTCAGTATCTTATATTTATCAGTTATTAACGGTGTAATATCTTTTACCTGCTTGCTTTTGAGAGAGAGAGAGAGAGAGAGAGAGAGAGAGAGAGAGAGATTAAGGGGGGATTAAGGAAATACAAACTTTCACGTTTTTTATCATTAATTAGGAAGAATATGATCGCATCAGACGGCTGACCTACCACAACACTGACGTGTTCTTGGTGTGCTTCTCTGTTGTTAAACCAGAGTCAGCCCAAAACATAGAACTTAAGTGGGTAAAAGAACTGAAGCAGTACATGCCCGGAACACCATTTATTTTAGTCGGAACTCAGGTGGATTTACGAGAGGATAGCAAAACCCTCAGAAAATTGCAGAAGAAAAATCAAAAGCCAATATCAAGCAGCGTTGGAAAAAATATCGCCAAAAAAGTTGGAGCTCAGAAATATATCGAATGTTCAGCTTTTCGACAAACGGGCATCAAAAACGTTTTCGACGAAGCCATTGTTACTGGTTGTTGTAAAGATGATGACATCGAGGAACGCGGACATCACTTCCTGAGGAGAATTCGTTCTTTTCGACTTCCTTCCTTGAAAAACCGCTTCTCTGAGCTGGCAGGCAATGTGCGAAGCGGCTTTGACAGTGTTCGCACCCGCTTTTGGTAATGACACAGTGCTATCAAAACCTGATTGTGACATGTCTCAACTGTAGCAATGAGCTTTTATTTTGTCTGTTTATTTTCATTGACTGTAACTTATTACTTCATAAATAAGGACAATCCATTCGGAAGGAGTCAAGTTCAATCTAATGAGCAGATTCATGTTTCAAAAACTTTAAAATGTTGCAAGTTTTTCTGACATTTTTCACCTGGAAGAGGGAAAAATTATTCTTATTAATCCTTTCTGATATACTTGCTCCGCCAGGGTGATGGCAGTCCTTTTTGAGGGAAATAATTTATTTCTGTTTGCTTATATTACATTACACAATGTGGATTGTTTTGTACTGTTTGGCTGAAAATTTTATCTGACCCCAGTTTACTTTCATCAATAATTAACCCTCAACTAACTGATAATTACTGGCAATTACGAATGCTGGTTTGTTCGCAGCAATCAGGAGAAACACGACCGCTGTGATTGGGAATATCACCTCAAATTTCAAAACATATATTTGCATTTTACAATAGAAAATAACATCAATTCTGTGTTGATCAAATAGTCAATCAATTATCAACACCATTACACATAATATTTAGTAAACCGATAAGATATTTTGTCTAGGTAACCGAAGCCACAGTTTATCATTATTTCTTTTTCTTAAAAGACTTTAATTATATTTACCGATATTTTACTACATTAATTGCTTTTTTGGTACGTTATTTCAGGAAATGCAACTTAATCTGATGCTGTATATTCAATCATATGTAAGAATTTAAAATGGAAAATAAAGTGAATATAACCCTTAAAGATAAAATAACGTTGTCTATTAGACGCTTAGATCGTAGATGTCTTACCATGTGCTACTGACATTAAATTGATTAACGTAATAGTTAGCATTAAAAAATAGTAGGCACCTATATCATCATTTCAAATCCATGTTTTTAAAAGAAAATATTTACTTTAGTTTATATAGGCTACCTATTTCCTTTTTTTAACTTAAGACAAATTAGCAATAATATTCCAATAAATTGATCCCTTCTGCATTTTCTGCATCCAAAGCAGGGTAGTTTTAAAAGTAATTCATATGCGTTTGCACACATTGATACTGATAACAAAAATATTGATAACTTACCTTGCAATAATTGTAGCACCGCTCAATCATAACTATACGAGTCCTACTTATATACCAGTCACATGTGTGTTAAAAATAGAATCGTGTTGTGATTGGACAATTTGATCACGTGAACAATTACTAAGGCTTGCGAGTTGCTAAAAATAACCACACCACGTTTTACTATAAATAAAATATATGAAACAATACTATATGGCGGATTTGTTCTAAAAATAACAATTTCAAGATTTTCTATATAAATGACTGGTCGAATTAAACACATTATGAACACATAAGCACCACAACTGGTTTGATTTCATGAGAAAAGAGAATTGAAGACAGCAATATTCCCAAAGGAGGAGGTTCGTCAGTGAAATACGAGTTAACAATGACAGAATTTTCAGTCAACAACTATATTAAATGTGTTGTCGTCGGAGATGGTGCAGTAGGAAAAACATGCATGCTTGTCAGTTATGCCACCAATAAATTTCCACAAGATCACGTCCCCACTGTTTTTGATAATTATGCAGGTAAGACTTCAAATCCTACTTATTGTGTCTGAGTCTTTAATAGTCACGTGCACATATATTTTAGATAGTAGAGCCTATTGCCTAAATTGATCGTCAGCAGAAATGTCGATATAAGAATAAAGTTGCGCGAAATGTACTTAAATCCGGACTTATTTGATTTAGGCTACAGTATATTTGACATTGAATACAGGCAGTTAGTTTGACTGATTACAAATTGAGATTGCTTACGTTTTTTCTTTACATTTCACAAACACTGGAAGTTTCAAATCATGGGTGTTTGATAAAGAGTTGTGAACATCTCTTTTTTCTTTTCAGTGAATATTGAAATCAGAGGGACACCATATATATTAGGTTTATTCGACACAGCCGGACAGGTAAGATGTTTCTCTGATATTTCCCCGATCTCTACCCCGTATCATGCAAATAACATAGCCATACTTTAAAAAGATGAGTGTTTATAATGACCTCAGGTCGTTATCTTTTAAGTAAGTTTTAGTTTGAAATCTATTGCACGGTTAATTGGTCTATTGATTAAAAGATATTTAAGTTTTTGCCGTGAATCATACAATAAACCACAAGTGCGAATATACTGTATGCATGTAACTAATAGTGAGCAAAATAATACCAGCTTAAGCATTTTCAGTTTCTATTTTTAAGACGAGGTACTTTCTAAACGTCAATTAAACGTGGACACGTATTTTCTCTGACATTCCAGGAAGACTACGACAGGTTGCGAGTCCTTGCGTATCCCAGCTCCGACGTATTCCTGGTCTGTTTCTCGGTAGTCAATCCTACTTCTCTGACCAATGTTGAAGAAAAATGGGTACCCGAACTGCGACAACACATGCCAAACACACGATTTATTCTCGTAGGGACCCAAGTCGATTTGCGTGACGACTTGAATACCAATAACAAATTGCAAAAAGACAAGCAGCGTCCAGTTACTTTTGCGCAAGGAGAAAAAATGGCGAAGAAAATAGGAGCTGAACTTTATTTAGAATGCTCAGCGCTCACTCAGCGCGGACTCAAAGCAGTTTTTGACCAAGCAATTCTGACTGTTTTGAATCCAAAACCAGAAAAAACAAAAAGTTTAAAAAGAAAGTTTAAAAAAGCGTTAGTGTGTTGGTAAAGTGGCATCAACTTCAAATAAGGTGTACTTTTCTTGATTTTCTAGTCATTCCTAAACATTATTGGGAAATTCGTCAGTATAGTTTTCTTGACTGATGACATCTGTTTGTTAAATAGATGCAAACAGAACTGAGATGTAGACATTTTGTACAGTTCAGAACTTTCGGGGCTANTACACTTGGCCTTGGACATACAGTAATAGACTTGGCCAAACAAATCTTCCGCTCACTTTTTTCAAAGAAAATAAATAACTGTTAAATGGACCCATATACTGAGAGTCAGTGGTAGCAAGTATGTCGTATTCACCAACTGTGTTTACATAATACCACGTAGCTGACTGCATACAACCTGCACACAACCTGCAACCGAGGACAATGTTGACGCCGTCCGGATCCGGTATAGTACGTCGGCCAGGTCGGCTTGTGTCAAGTTGAAACGTGGCCAATTAGGCTCAAACGGAAAAATCCGAATGTCGCTTATAGCACATATTAAAAATAAAACACCACGCACTTTCTTTTCAGTCTGACTTGTATTAACAATGGTGGAAATGAGGAAGGAGGGGGTGTTCTATTTTTCAGATCCCCCCTTCAAACAAACAAACAAACAAACAAACAAACAAACAAACAAACAAACAAATAAATAAAACAGAAAAAAAGAGACAGGAATAATTAAGCGATTTTCCATAAATCTGCTGTACATATTATAAGCCCCATCAAAAGTTTTAGTATAATATCAGCAAAACCCAGACCAAAAATGTTTATCCTTGTATTCCTCCTTAAAAAAATCTGGATCCACCGTTGAAATTTAACATCGATCAAGGTGGGATTACTTCCATGAAGGCGCTTTATACATATTTAATGCACAATTAGTAAAACATGCGAAAATCATTGTGACAATCAAAGGTGTTGGATTTTTCAATATACATTTGTCGACATGCGGAACGCCCAAAATAAACCCCCAAAATTGTCAACAACAGTTATGTGCTTACTTCTCACTGGCTGGGGGTGGTCCTAGCCAGTGCAATGCAGTTGCGGTGACGAACAATAACAAAAACACCTCTGATCAAGCGGGCTCAGTCAGAAAGTAGATTCTGTTCGAGTAAACGTGTAGCAGAGAAGTCTGTCACTGCAGAAATTATCTACAAAATGGTTGATAGTATTTACCGTACTCGTTCTCTCGGAGTGCCTGCTGAGGGTCTGTCTGACCAGTATGCTGACGGGAAAGCGGCCAGGGTTTGGCAGTTGTACATCGGCTGTAAACAACAAAGAACGTCGCAGTACAGCGAGTGGTTATGCAACCTGTTGAGAAAAAAAGGTTGCAGCTCGGTGCTTGATGTTGCTTGTGGAACCGGGTAAGAGAGATGTGAATTGTACACACGTGATGCATCTAATAAGTGAAACCTTGTTTATCAATAAGCAATTCCCAGAAATAAAATGCACGCTCAAGTCTGTTAATTTTTATTTGATTGCAGAGAGGGGCTTTCCCCAGGTTATTTCTATTTTTAAAATTCTGTGAGTGTTTTATACCAACACTACGATCATTCAAATGTGTCCTAGTAGTTAGTGATATAAAATGAATAAGTTTGCAAATGTGCTCAGTAATTGAAAGTGGGAATTCATTTTTTGCGAGAATTTTNTAAGTTGGTAGACTGATGTAAAGTTCCACTTGGCCTTGGACATACAGTAATAGACTTGGCCAAACAAATCTTCCGCTCACTTTTTTCAAAGAAAATAAATAACTGTTAAATGGACCCATATACTGAGAGTCAGTGGTAGCAAGTATGTCGTATTCACCAACTGTGTTTACATAATACCACGTAGCTGACTGCATACAACCTGCACACAACCTGCAACCGAGGACAATGTTGACGCCGTCCGGATCCGGTATAGTACGTCGGCCAGGTCGGCTTGTGTCAAGTTGAAACGTGGCCAATTAGGCTCAAACGGAAAAATCCGAATGTCGCTTATAGCACATATTAAAAATAAAACACCACACACTTTCTATTCAGTCTGACTTGTATTAACAATGGTGGATATGAGGAAGGAGGGGGGTGTTCTATTTTTCAGATCCCCCCTTCAAACAAACAAACAAACAAACAAACAAACAAACAAACAAACAAACAAACAAATAAATAAATAAAACAGAAAAAAGAGACAGGAATAATTAAGCGATTTTCCATAAATCTGCTGTACATATTATAAGCCCCATCAAAAGTTTTATTATAATATCAGCAAAACCCAGACCAAAAATGTTTATCCTTGTATTCCTCCCTAAAAAAATCTGGATCCACCGTTGAAATTTAACATCGATCAAGGTGGGATTACTCCCATGAAGGCGCTTTATATTTAATGCACAATTAGTAAAACATGCGAAAATCATTGTGACAACCAAAGGCGTTCGATTTTTCAATATACATTTGTCGACATGCGGAACGCCCAAAATAAACCCCCAAAATTGTCAACAACAGTTATGTGCTTACTTCTCACTGGCTGGGGGTGGTCCTAGCCAGTGCAATGCAGTTGCGGTGACGAACAATAACAAAAACACCTCTGATCAAGCGGGCTCAGTCAGAAAGTAGATTCTGTTCGAGTAAACGTGTAGCAGAGAAGTCTGTCACTGCAGAAATCATCAACAAAATGGTTGATAGTATTTACCGTACTCGTTCTCTCGGAGTGCCCGCTGAGGGTCTGTCTGACCAGTATGCTGACGGGAAAGCGGCCAGGGTTTGGCAGTTGTACATCGGCTGTAAACAACAAAGAACGTCGCAGTACAGCGAGTGGTTATGCAACCTGTTGAGAAAAAAAGGTTGCAGCTCGGTGCTTGATGTTGCTTGTGGAACCGGGTAAGAGAGATGTGAATTGTACACACGTGATTCATCTAATAAGTGAAACCTTGTTTATCAATAAGCAATTCCCAGAAATAAAATGCACGCTCAAGTCTGTTCATTTTTATTTGATTGCAGAGAGGGGCTTTCCCCAGGTTATTTCTATTTTTAAAATTCTGTGAGTGTTTTATACCAACACTACGATCATTCAAATGTGTCCTAGTAGTTAGTGATATAAAATAAGTTTGCAAATGTGCTCAGTGATTGAAAGTGGGAATTCATTTTTTGTGAGAATTTTGTGAATTTGTATGGTTTGTAGCTGAATTGCTGTTTCTCATAACCATATGCATGGACCATATTTGATCTATCCACGTAGATTGCATCAGAATAGGATCTAAACATTAAATATGCATAATAGAAGGAGCAAAAAAAGCTGAGTCATTTTTAAAGGATAGGCACAACAAACGGATTTATTTCATGGCATATACAGTCAATTTGTGGTGCAATGGTTGTTAAATTAAGCATGATGCATTATAAAAAAAAAAAAAAAAAAAAAAAAAAAAAATGCATTTATAGTTGTCAAAGAAAATGGGTCTACCTTCCATGCATGAGCAAGGGTGGATTTAGGCCGTCTTTTGGGTCTTCTGGAAATGCTCAGATTTTCTAGTTTTTATTGATGGGTATCTAATTTTTTTCTGTCTGAAGACGGTCAAAAATGGAGGCTAGATCAACAAAGAATTTGGAAGACTGTCAGAAAATGTCTCTGTATCTGCCTCTGCGTGAGTCCCAATTATTTTTTGTTCTATATTTCTTCATTATTCCCACTACTAGAGTCGACTCAATCCTCCTCCTGGAAGAAGGCTTCAAAGTCACCAGTGTTGATGCCAGTGATAAGATGTTGAAGTTTGCTCTGAAGGAAAGGTGGAACAGACGCAAGGAAGAGGCATTTGATAATTGGGGTATGATTATAATATTGTGTGATTTCTTGGGGTAAGATTATGGTATTGTGTGACTTTCTTGGTCTTCTGTAAGCATTTCTTTGACCATTCTTATATATCATTCTTATCTGTCAGGACTTAAATGACAGATAAGGTTTTGTGTGCTAGCAAGGGTTGTCCATCTAGTTTTAAGCGGATCTGACCAGTAGTATTGAACATTACCTGCCCTTTGATTGCGAAATGATCCTAGATTTTGACAGTAAGTAACCGTGTACATAGCTAAACTGCTTATCAACCAAGGTGAGGAGACACCAGGGGTGGGGTCATGATTCATTTCCATGTATGCATATAAATTGGTGTCCAGGGCAGGATTAAAATAAAAGAAATGCTGAATCCTTTTAAAGTTCTCTCCAGTGTTAATCTGATAATTCTGACAATTTACAGTGGTGGAAGAAGCAAACTGGTTGACTCTAGCCGAGGATTTTGAGGAAATTCCACATCCAGAGGGAGGTTTTGATACAGTGATTTGTCTAGGAAACTCGTTTGCTCATTTACCAGACTTTAGCGAGGAGCAGAGAGAACACAGAATTGCTTTCTCCAATTTCTACCGGATGGTCAAGCCTGGAGGGATTTTGATCATAGACCATCGTAACTATGATGCCATCTTGGACACAGGCTCTGCCCCAGCCAAGAATATCTACTACAATGTAAGCAGAAGGATGGATGACCTCTTTTTAATTTATTTTATAAAAATATTTTTTCCCAATGTACGAAAATGGGTATTTTTGTGTTAACTGGTCTTGCTTTACTGTACCATTTACTTTTTAGATAGTGTGTGCGTATGTGAGTGAGTGAGTGAGTGAGATAATGTATTGTTCCTGGTAGAGGTAATGTCCTTCTTTAGTGCTTTCATTTGAAAAATTATCATTTATTTTTTCTATATCATCTGTTTTAAAGAGTGACTACATCAAAGACATAAAGACTTCAAACTTGTATGTGAATGGAAAACCTAAAATGGTGACTCTAGACTACTTCATGGATGTGTCTTCCCTTACCAAAGATAATCCAGATAAAGAGTGAGTATACTATCACACGGCTGAACATTTGAAGTGTAATCTTTTTTGAGTTCTGGACTTATTTCTGTTCAAATATCCTTAAACATGTAATTGGGCTTTTTCACACCAAGCTTTGTATCTTAGCAAAGCACATTAGCAGTACAACTGCACTGGTTATATGTCTTGAGAGTTTGACAACTTAACAAGAGCCTGGGTTTTTCATAAGACACTCCCTGCTGGACACAGACGATTAACCAACTTCCACCTGAAATGCAGGACGCAAAGTAGTGGAGCACTTGTGAATAAGAGTCAAGTCCCCTGTAGCATAAATACATAGTAGAATCTCTCAAAACATGTCATCATCAAGATGTACCAGCTGTATTGCTAAGATATAACACTTGATGTGTAAACCTCTTAAAAGTTGCATTTTACTTGTAAGTACTACTACAAGTAATTGCCTCTGTTCAACAATACATTTATATTGGAAGTATTAATAGAAGATTTACAACAGTTCACGCAACTCAAATCAAGCATTGAAAAAGACCAAGTCTTGAACTCTTATAGCACATATATGAATGGGGCATTCAAATTGTGGTGGTTTGTGATAACAAGAAATTGTAGATGTTCTTCATCCATTTAATATCAGTGTGATAACCACATGAACAGTCTCTAAATTTTCAACCAACTTTCTTTGGCTTATCTTTAAATTCCTTTAAATGAAATCAAGTTAAAAGTTGTGATTCTTGAAAATAATATAAATTGGAATGATTTGATCATCATCCTTTGAATTTTATTTTCAGATTTCAGACCCATTTCCGTCTGTCATACTATCCCCATCGTTTGAAGGCCTTTACTGGTCTTCTGAAGGAGGCATTTGGTGAAAAAGCTGAACATCAAGTGTTTGGAGATTTTAGAGAATATGACCCTGAAGACACACCTGCATACTTCATCCACGTCATTCAAAGACCATTTGACGAGTGATGGAAAAAATAACATTAACGTAAAGAGACTTGACAAATAGCATTACTTAAAGCATTTTTGGTTGTAAAAATGTGACAGTATGTGAGGCTGAAATACTAAATGGACCATACTGAGATTTCTGTCTATGACAGTTACAATTGTAAATATGATAGTTACTTGTTTGTAAGCAGGGATAATATTAGGTTTGAGGAATATCCCTATAATACGGGAGTCCTTAGAGTAATCTCATTTGTACAAATCTGTGCAAGTTGAAAAGTGCACCTTCTGATAAAGCATGCAGGTGCCTGTGAGTTACTTTGATTACTGGACTGCTGCTGTTGCTTCATAATGATTGTTCAAGTTGCACTGTGTTATTAAATATTTGTCTGTTCTGCATTACATTGTACATGTATGCTAATATGTGGTAAGTAATTTTCAAAAAAATGTAAATAGATTGGAGGTTTCTTTGAAAAAGAAAAAAATGAAATCATGTGTATATTTTGTTGGAAATGATTTCTTTGAAAAAAAAGTTGAATCATGTGTACATTTTGTTGGAAGAAAATAATTTTAAAATTGTTGAAGTTGTTATTACAGACCAGTCGTTAATTTGGGTATAAAATTAGTTTGATATTCCGTGTTATAAATATATTTATTTTTGTGAAGGTGTTAGGCTTATTCAGGAATGATGTCAACTGGGACCAAGAAACGATATCTATACATTGAAAACAAGAACTCAGTATTTCACTTCATTGTTTTACAACTTTTTTAATACCAGTAATAAATAACAATAATGCATTTTTCCATGTCGCTCTTTTACAGCTGAAAAGCGCTCTGTTACACAAAGCTCAAATGCTACTCATTGTGTCCACTTAAAACAGCAGAGAGAATATCGACTTCTGTACATGTACAACCCTCATGTACATGTACATAAAAAATGTGTGCACATGTAACTGTCATGTCCATCCTGGTCTATTCACTGAGTTGAAACTAAAGCAAAATTATGCTGCCTACAATGATAACTATTCCAGCTAAGTACTGCATACTGTAAACTGGATGGTGATATGCGTACTTTCTCATAAATTCAAAGTCCTTCAAGTTTCAGTTACATTCAAATAACTTCAAAAAGACTTTATTCATCATGTGTAGATTATGGCAGTGGTTTTGTGGATATATGCATGCTTCTTGTGCACTTACAGCAGCACATGACAACTTCTTACTGGTCTATATGCCAGTATGTGTATTACCGTAAGCACACATTTATGCTAATACTTTGTACGTTAACAAGGCACTGCTACTGGCACCATTATTATGAGATCATACTGAATGCAGCTACAAATTGAACTAATTTTCTTTCTGAGTTACACTTTTTTCAACCAATCTATCCTATGTAGTATTACATATTTTAGGAAGCAAATAATATTAAGATGACAGAAAGAAAGGGTTAGACTTTTTACATCCTTTCGTCAATGTACAGAACTAACATTTACAAATCATTTCTATATTAATACACATGACATTGCTCCACATGAAAAGCTCTTGCACAACCTCCATGAAGCCATTCAATCATAATTATTTTCATTTGTACAAAAGCAACATTTCTTGTCACGTGCACTTGTGGCATGACAACGTGGCAGTGGGGGAACATCAAGCAGCCCAGAGTAAATTGTACTTTAAGCACATTCATTAAATGTCTATCATATAAAATGATTAGATTAAATCAATACACATTTAAGAAAAAAATATAATATTTGAAAAAACTACCGATTCAGAATTGATCTCACTTCATATGAATGATGAAAAGAGCTGACCAACAGATTCTAAATTGCATGTAGTGCATTGAAAAGATGGAGGCAAATTAAATAGATAATAGGGTAAAAATTGTCTTAGTTGTATAAATGATTATCAATATAGAGGTTCGCTTGAACTACTAGTTCTAAACATTCTAGTACAAATGAATGAAACTTAAATTCCAGAAATTGTTATTCTTGTGTACAAAGCAAAACATTCAGCTAATTTCCAAGGCAGGTGAAATATGCACTGCAAAATTCATTAAATGGATTAATCTAGGATTTGAGGAATATCACAGGTATGGGAAGTTAAAAGGTATATTAGATTGCAATAAGCTTTAGAGGTGTTAGTGACAACATGCAAGAATCTATATTTCTATCACCAAAACCAAGCAAGATAACAGAACAAACAGCATGCTAATAAATGCTTGTCCTCTTGATTTAATTTAAATTGTCAGAAAGAAAATATCAAATGCTGATGGAAAACAGAAGTTTTAAACTTCAATGAAACCAAAGTTCCTTGCCCAACTGAATTCCAGTGATTAGTAGGTAATATACTACCATCAGTTCTTGGGTAGGTGACATCGGCGGTAAAAGCTGAAAATCAACAATAAACCACAGATACAACAGTGGACAGGTTGGCAAGGGAAAACATGGAAGGAAAAGGTGACTTAAAAAATAAAGTAACAAGTGGACTGTAAATAAAATGTATATGCATAATGGTAATGAGTGAAGAGGTACACACTGTTGCCCACTAAGCATGCAAGGCTTAAATTTTATTATTTTTTAAAGGTGAATTTACAGTGAATATATAACAGATGTCACTTAGAACAGTACCATCTTTGAAGTTAACATTTCTCACCAACTGGGCATGCAACTCCCTACTGTTGTGACTGATAGTACTGTTTTAAGTTAAACTGTAATAAGTGAACTGTAACTGCACCTTATTTTTATACATAAACCCATGACCTGAAGCAGGCATTTAGTGGCACAAATATAATAAAATTGATGTTATTCCACACCTACAAGCAATCTATTTTGATAAATGTTCTGTCAGTATTCTACAGCAATGGGGGGAGAACAAATAAATTAATTCCTCATAGTTTCAGTGGCTGACCATTTCAAAAAGAATATCATGGATCAATAACACTGTCAGTTTTTTTTATCAACTGAAATCTGGAGAGAACATGGTGCTTGGGACAATAATTTAGAATATCAAGGGTTTGTTTCAAAAATGAGGAAGCTTTAACCTAAGGAATAATCATAAATAAAAGCCAAGAAGATATAGATAAATACTTTTATCTTGATTTTTGCAGAGAAATTTAGAAGAAAGCTGAATGCCAATAAAATGAGATCATTTGAAGAAAAAGTTTTGTTCCCAAAACTTCAGGATTCACTTTGAAATCTGGAAATAAGCTTTTTAACCCACCCTTTTCTCTCAACATAGGTGTCATCAACAGAGGACCTTTTGTTGTCTTGTTCAAACTCCTCTGAAAAAGAGGCTACATCATCCTCTCTTGGAATGCTATGTCGACGTTTCATTTTCCATCCTTCTGTAAACCCCAGCAGTTCTTGGGTTCTCTCTTCTATTGATTTCTTTGGAATCTCTTCCAATTCTTTAGAAACAGTTTCTGTTTTTTTCACAAACTTTGTACATTCCTCCAGACCTCTGAGTCTCTCTAATATCCCTGAGCTGATATCAGGGGAAGCACAGCTTTCGCTCCTGACAAATGTGGAATTTTCTTCTGACATTTTCACTTTTTCAGGTATTGCAACAGTTTGGGTTTTAAGTTTGTCTTCTTGTGCCAGAGAGCAAGATTTGTTTTTCTCTACATTTTCAAAAGATCGCCGTGCTTCAGTCACTGAAAAATGCCTTTCAGAATTGTCCTCGGAGCCCAATGTATTGAGTGAAGCAATATCCGTAAACACATCATCTAAATTGCTCTCTAGTTCTCTTTCATAAACACTCCCAGTATCCGAGGACTCTCCATCATCTGAACCACTGGCATCCATGTAATCTGGATTAACAACATCAGACGGAGTGGAAACATAAAATGTTGACTGGCTGCCATAATGGTCCTTCCTATTTGTTTTGTTTTCACTGGCTGAGGTAGAGTCACCTGCTGGTTCCTCTGGTGTTTGTCTGGGAAGAGTATAGTTTCCCAGTCCAACTGGTTTTGCCTGTGCCATACGTGCCCCTATAGTGGAGCTGCCTGGTTTGCTCTCCTGGAGTAATTTTCTCAAATGTTTTGCACTCAAGTCGGAATCTCGGCATTCAAATTTCCTGTTTGGAGGAGGTGTATGACTAGGTGGTTTCTGTTTTTGTTTGATTTTGGCACTGTATGTACGAGCTAAGGAATAAACAGAGGTGCTGACTCTTTTTTCCTTCTGTTTCCCTTCTGGCTGCTCTCCTTCAGATTCCTGGGATTTATTCCTGGACCTTGTTGGGCTGCCAAGGTCTGCCATACTGCTACGTGGTGATGTCACAGACATACGATGGGCTATTTTGGATGTGAATCCTAGCACAGCATTTTTGATAGACCCAACAATGCTCTCAGAGGAAGTATGAGCAGAAGATGTCCTGGAGTAGAGGTGTCTGGAACGGTGTGGACAAGGTTCTCCCTTTGAAGAATTATCCACCTGGTTCAATGATACTGGACGATGAGCCTTTGAGTCAAGGCCTCTATGACTGTATCCACAGTGACCATGATCATCTCCCATGTCATGTCCATCGGAGAGTGACCTGGCCAGTTTTGGTTTAAGAGCCATCTTGTTCTCTATAACAGGTACTTGTTCCAGACTGCTGTGGGTCAAGGTTTCCCGGGGTGGGGTGGCATATCTCATGAAAATCCTCTTTCGGTGACGCTGTGTGATCTCCGCTGCCATGGTGGCAGCAGTTTCTCTGGGGGGTGTAGCATAGCGACATATAATCCGATGGTTTTCTTTCAATTTTGGTGAATCCCCTGCTAAAACTGCACTTTTATTCCCAAACATGAGGGATGTGTCTGAGAATTTCAGTGAATGCTTACTATTGGTGATATCTCCTTTTTGACAGAGTTCTTCAATGCTTCCATGTAGTGATGGGATAGAGTTTGACCTCTGGAGAGAAGGAGGTAAGGCAGATAGTGTTGGCTCTGGCTTATGGCTCTTTTTACTACTCCATGAGTCTTGTCTTTTGACCCACAAATTTCCAGACTGTTCCTTTTCATTTGCTGCTTTAGAAACACTGTTCACAGCAGTGCCCAAGTCAGTGCAGGCACGTCGACCACCCCTTCGCTCATTTCTCCTATTTTTAAGTTTTGGGCTATTTGGTAATGGTGTGAGCAGATCATTGATACTTTTGATATCTGCTGCAGTAAGTGTTGAAGTTGACTTTGATAATGGTGAAGAGGTCACTGCCAGAGTTTCATAAATCCCATCATCATCTTCATCATTTCGCAAGGTGGAGCCAGAGGTAAGAGAAGTTTGACTTCGACGGTTATCCAACATGGCTACCTCGACATAATCTCCATCATCATCATCATCATCATCACTAAATTCATCCTGATTAGTTCTGATGGAAGACTTGCTACTGCTTTGATATAAGCTATCTGAGCTTTTAGCATGGTTATTTGCGATTATCTCCATAGGCACTTGGGGCAAATCTTTGGAGCCTCGCGACTTTAAATTGATGTAGTCTCCATATGTATTAATCATTGCCAAGTCTACTTTTCCTGGTGCTATTATCACATTGGAGTATGGTGATTCCTCATCTTCTTCATCGGAATCAAAATTAAACTGGACTTTACCTTGATCATCATATGAGATATTCACATAACCATCATCCATGACTTTAGAATTGGAGCGAGAAGATTCTGTGTGATAATCAGAATCGGTCTCCATACTTTCTGCTGACCTGGTCCTTTCTTTTGGCTTTCTCTGGAACCCATCACACTTATGACCGTCTTTTACGGTTGTGGAGTCCACACGGTTTAATTCTGTTGCAACTCTGAAGCTATCTGTGCGACTAGCTGAAGAATTATTGGCCCAGCCTTGCCCACCATTTCTTAGATTCTCAACCAATTCCTCACTGTCTAAGATTTGACTAATTCTCTTAGCCCTGGCGCTGGCATCATCAAAACTGGTTGCCACAGCACCAGGCTCCTGAACAGACTGGCGTTTGCTGTCTTCTCCAGATGCCTTATCACTCAGTCCATCCTCCGTCAAACTTTCCAAACTACGACTAAGTCTCTTTGATGACTCTGACTTCACCCTAAGGTGGCTTCTACGCTTAACAACATCACCATCCTGAAAAATAACAAAAAGTATGACAAATAAGTCAACAGTATACAGTCACTGTGGTAATAATTACTTTCCATCTTATACATTTAACAACCTATTAACAATCAAATTAAAATAGCTATTAAATCATAAGCTGGTTTTCATTAAGGAATTATTTTAAGTAAAAAATCACCTTTTTATGGTCACTGACAAAGTCCACTAAACTCTTGACCACACCTTTTCTGGTAGGCTGAGGAGACTGAAAGATGCATTTCATGTCTTATTAAATCTCCCTGATTAAGTTTCAACAAAAACAGACACTGAACTGTAATAACTGATTTCTTCTCTTTTTATTGGGTGAACACCAAAACACTCAAGCATGGACAAATATGTACACTTGAACACTTACTGATCGCGGACTTTCACTTTTGTCTACTTGTTGCCTTTTCTGTGCTTTCTTGCCCTTAAGTAAACTGAATTCTGCAAAACAATTAAAAAATCATTATCAGTGGATGAAATTTGATCTAGAAACCAGAATATTATGTCTGACTATCAGCATTACAACATTTAATGCAATGTACAAATAACCTTGTAATTCAAAGTAACCTGCAATTAAACATTTTTGCTTTAAAGAATCAAGTTTATATTTTTGTATCATATATTTCGATATATTAGAAAAAAAACTTTAAAGTCTGCCTCCTATCACTAAATATACATCATGACAGCTGCAAACAGTGAACTGCTTGCATGCTGCAACTTATGGCTGAGTACCTGCATGGTATAAATTTAAGTGGTTCTGCAAGGGATTTTGAACATTAAACAAAGGTGGCTCTCAAGTCTCAAGTGAAGTTCTTTAGTGGAGAACAAAAAGATTTACTGCCAGGGAGCATGTCTTTAAGCTGTTTACAAACACTCTTGTGGATAACTCTAGATTTTCAATTTAGCCCAATGGCTTCAGTTTTCAGACAAATACACACTAAATTGTCAAATAATAATAAAAAAAATTGTAAAAAAAATTTTTTTCTCCCAACATAATTTAACATTGTTGTTTGAACCTTGAGACCCTTTTACATCACGTTGATTAATGTGTTTGTCTTCTCTCAGATTACTTACCAGTTAATCCTGTGCCCGACTTCCTCCTTCTCTTCTCCAGATATTCAGGAGCATGGTGCTGCCTCTTAGGAGGGTCAATATTCTTCATTATGGACTCATCTGCATTAACAGGAAATGACTATTACTTATATAATCAAAACCAAATACTGTAAGAAGAAGGCTACAGTTTCTGATAATTAATACAAGGCTTTGTTTGCTGTATTGGTATTGTTCAAATTCTAAATAACTTGGAATTAAATTTTTAGAGTGGTGAATGTCATGTTGTTTATGTCAGCAAATGGCTTGGTGAAACATACAAGAAGCATATTTACAATAATAATTGATGTGTTTTCAAAAATAATTAAAATTGTCTAATAATTATCACTTATTTAAATACCACAAGGGTTAATTGGTTATTAAATTTACCTTCTTCCTTGCTCCTGCCTAACTGCATCACCAATTCTTTAGCCTTGTCTGGGATCAGGGCAGTGTAGTTCTCCAAGATGAGACGTTTGATTTCTTGACACCATTTTCTCTTTTTCTCTAACGTCTTGGCCTGAAAGAAAATACATAGTTTCAATTGTTGTCATTGTAAACAGTAATACAATACAGTTTATCATGTATCAACAAAAACAAAATAAGAAATGGAAAAAGAAAAGAATTGATTGTTAAAACCTCAAACTTCTCATATTCTGGTTAAGATCGATTTTATTTCTGCTATAAATAAATCCTTGCTGAGCAGTGTCACTGAACAATATCTATATTTAAATACAAAATCACAATTAAGCTCTATGCTTATAGGGCCCTGATTGACACAAATGTTAACAAAATATATCTTTTCTGCTTACCTGCAGTGTGTATTGGATCTTTGGGTTATCAAATGGAATGGCATGAAAACTCAAAGGTTCCTTTGGGATACTCTCAATCACCATTAGATTGGAACACTAATATAAAACAAAGTGGAAGGATTATCATGATATTGAAAGTAAAAATAATTAATTAAATAAAGCATATAATGAAATTAAAAGTAAAATGCTTGTCAATAATACATTTAATAAACATTTGCCTTTCTTTTGTTTCAGAAATGTGTACAGTTAAACATCTATTATCATAATAATCATAATCATGACAAAAGCTACCATTATAACAGCCTTGCACATGAATGTGCCATCTTCTCTCCTTTTGGCTAAAATTAAGCCTTTCTCAAACAAGAAAGCTTGTCTGTGGCCCTTGGCTCCATACAATCGAAATGGGGACTGAAACAGAAAATGTATACACTAAATTTTTTAAAGAAAAAATAAATAAACTGAATTTGCTTGACCAAGTTTTAAAATATAAGCTTGAATTTACATTTGATACTTTGCTTGAAACCCAAGGTAACTTTTTGAGTTACTTGGGGCATCTTCCACTGTGACCACATCAACAATATTTGTAACAGCTTTATATGAAATCAGACCAAAATTAAATTTACACTGATAAATAGCATCAAAGTCTTGCAGTAGTACCTCTAACAACAGTTCCCCAAATGTTGTCAAGTCGTCCCCCTCCCAGCCGTAGAGGATGCTCTGGATTTCCTGCACGCGCACAGCGTGTTCATGCTTCCGTTTCATCTCGTTAATGTGTTTGGCCATGTTGGTCATTCCAGACAGGGCGTCCTGGATCACCTCATAGCCTGGCTGACTGGCGTCAAAATGCTTCAGGATGTTCTGTAAATTGGAATACATATCAACAAGGATAATGATGCTTCAATATGGCTGATATCACTGTGACCTATGCACGCTTAGCTTATAATAATATCACATACTACATACATAGATGAGCTAAAACAAATGTGATTTTTTTAACCACTTGGGTAATCCAGATATTTTGTTGAGCTAATCCAGTAAAATAACATCTAAAATTGCATAAGGTTTCATGAACTGAACTACTAAAACAGTAAGTACATTCATTCTGAAATAGGTAAAATATCTTAAGAACTCTAGTTGGGCAGAAAAAAGGGGCAAAACATGAATGCTGCTAGTCAAAACTGAGGTATCTGTTATCTCAAGTTTTTCCTCCAATTGTTTGTGTAGTAAACCTACCAAGAGCATTGAGTGACTTTCCAATGGATACAGAAGGTTCATAAACCAAGCCTACCCCTGAGAACAAATTAACAACTGACTGTGCTCTCCATTGTCTCCTGAACCCTAACTGACCCTGTCACAGTTGGGTAAAATCAGCAAGCAAGAAAAACCCAGGTTGCTTTGTTCCTCAGTTTTGTGCAGCTACACTTCAATACTTTTTGTCTAGCTTGACAAATTGAAATGATAGTGTAATGTCTCTTTGTGGAAAGAGAAAGCCACTGAGATGACATCGCACAGTTTCAACTACATGTTAAACCTACCACAGACACCATAAATGTAGGACACAGAGCTTCTTAATTCTACTTCCCTATATCTTCAATTACAAAGAATCACTATGTGTTAACATAGTAATAGGAAAAGACAGCAGGGGCAAATAACAAGAGATATAAGACACCAGTGAACCCCCCATGATATCAATATTCTTAATTTGGTCTAAAAGCCCCTTGCTACAGGCAATTAACCCAATTCAGCAAAAAGAATAAATATCATTTGTTTGGTTAACTCGGGATGTACATTCAGCATTTTTACAATATTTTGGGATGGTATCTTCAAGATTATTTATAGATTCTGGGAGTGCGAATATATAAAACGCTCATAACACATTTCTTAAGCAGTGGATATTAATCTTGCACAGTCTGGGCTGAAGTCTGGTCATTTTCAATGCCTCTGGAAACATTGGGAGGAATATAACACTTCCATCTTTGCTATCCTGGTACTCTCTGTAACTTAAGTCATAGTCCAAAGTAACCATTTCATCACAAAATATAACTAAAAATTAGGAAATCATACAAACCTGCAGTAACAGATGGTACTTCAGAATCCTCTGCACTGGTTTCAGCAAGTAAGACCCCAAAGGAAGGGCGTGCTGTAAGGCACCCTGACGCTGTTTCAGCATGTTGGCCATCTCAGGGTCGACATTGAATTTGGTCAGAACAGTGATAGCTCTGAAAAAAATGTGTACAAAATGTATAGCTAGTGTATATAAAAAAGAGAATCATTTAATTTATTTAAACAGGTGCCAAAATATGAGAATTAATTGAGTTTTAAGCAATATTACACCTATTTTAATCTGTGCTTAAAGCAATATTTATTGAAACATGTAAAAAAACTTCTTCCCCTACTGTTTAATGAATGAGTCTACTATAAGTTGAATGAGTAGAAACGAGCTCTAATAACAACTGCTTGTTTAGTCTAGATATGAACACAATAACTCAGATGCAAGCCTATAGGACCCATACCTTGGATAGTTTGTACAGTATTGTGAATAGATTTCAAAGCCTTGATTATTATTGACAAAACATTGAGCAATGTGAACTGGGTCCCTCTCACTTTTCTTCAGCTGTTCTAGGAGTTGGCTGAAAGATAAAAATTTGTAATTTCATTACATGTTCAAATGTGGATTATTGTTGTACTGACAAAAACATACAGAAAAATATGCTACAAAATAAATTTTTTCATGTTGTTCTTCTGTTTAATGTAATTTAGTTAACTTTGCTCTCTACCAAGGGATAAATGAAGCGGGACAAAATGAAAATGGAGAAAAATATAGGTCAGTCAGATTTTTACTGCAGGGTGACTTTTATGCTAATGGCCAGTTCTGAAGCCAAATGCAGGTTAACTATGGAGATGTTAAAGACCAAATGGTCAAGCTGCTATTTCAACCAAAAAGCAACCTTTACTGACCACTTCTGTTAAATGATAATGTTTGCCCCTCAGTACTTAAAGTTACATTAACCATATCAGTGAATGAAAGAAACTAATAAAAACATTAGCTTAATGCCAGTACACACTAGTGCAACATTTAACTTCATAAAGGTAAGTCTTCTGTTAACTTCACTAAGAACCTATGGAATGTGTTTACAAGCTGGCCAGAGAGAGGCCTCTAGCACGGCTGTCTGCAGCCAAGCCAATAGGTGCAAATGCCTAATGCAGACACAAATAAATCAAATATACTTTTGGTTATCATCAAACAGTGTCCTGGCATGACTTACAAAGGAAACACTCAAAAGAATTCAGGTTGATGAATTCAATATCCTTTGATGTTTCTCCCCAAATAAATTCTAGATGAGGATGGGTATACTTTTGATGGGTTGTGTTTTTATGGCTTAAAAAATACTGATACAAATTATTCAAATCATTTCAAAACAGAATACAAATGATTTGAATGGAGGCATATCAAAGGATATGTTGGATCTAAGGTCAGAACCGACCTTGCATACTAATTTATATTCATTGTGTCACATTTTAAAAACTGTCTGAGCTGTTAAGATATCATAATTATAATGGTTTCATCCTCATGTGAAGTAGTCACATCAGTGTACAGTGTACTTACCTGTTGAAGTGGTAAATTTCTTCAATATTTCCAAACATAGCAGCTAAATCTTCTTCTTTTAGTTCTATATCTGCTGATTCTTTAAAGTAGCCAAGATATCCCTAAAATAAGACAAATGATGCCTTTATTGTGAATGACTTTACAACTAGTGAATTGCAATTGATATGTAATCAAACAAATGCATTTTTTAAATGGTGCAAAATGCTGAATTATATATTCACACAAATCCTTTAAAAAAACTATTGTTCACTACTACAGCATTCAAGGTTCCATATTCACTTGTTTCTTGACACAGTTGCATTAGCCAAGATTTATTTTCTGAAACTATTGTCTGACAAAACATATCACCACTACTGCCACAGCTGAAGTTACAGCTATGCTCTCCAACTGGTATATAAGACAACATAAATAAACCTTTTAAACCAGAACTGGAACAGAGATAAGAGGTAAGAAATCAGGGCTGATGCACCTTTCAGATTTGAAACTTTCTTTAAATGTTACTTTTATATGGGCATGGTCATTTACCATGACAATAAAATTGCTTCCACTGCCAGACAAGTGTCTTGCTTACAATGACCAATGAGTCCATGCCACATGTTTGGTCTGCACGTGTGGCAATTTTTTGGTCAACAACAACATGCCAATTTCTATAAAATCACATTGTAATTGTTGCTGTTGACTGATAAATGATTGTTTGTCACACAAGAAAGAAAAAAACAAATAACAAACACACATGAAAATGCAAACTGAACAGCTATAGAGTAACATCAGGGATGCCAAAACGTGACAAATATCACGTGGATTTTTAATATTCCTTTTATGCTAAATATACACACCATCAATGATTTATACTTGTCATTATATGCACTGTTGACCATTAAAACCAAAGGGGCACAAAAAGTCTTCAGTTTGCAGACAATAAATACCACTGTTTTAGCAGGAACGCAAATCGTGTCTACACATCTCATTAAAATCTACAGGTCAATAAAAAGGTCCATTTTAATTTTATAGTTAAAACTAACAGGAAGAGAGGAAAGGTACCTATAAAAACCCATTCTTCCAGATAAAAAAGCCTTTTAAGATGAGAATACATTCATGATAAATGACAGTTCACACTTTGCTTGGCTCCTTTGCCACTGGCGGCATGCCATACGTGTCATCTCTTCATCCGTGGAGCCATCTTTAAAAATTGGCCCAGAAAGCAATTTGCAGAAATGCCAACATCTGATCTCAAAAGGGGCCATGTTTTGATTTGTGATCAAAGTCGAGCCTAAGAGTTAGATGAGCAAATACATAATGCAAGCAAAGACTGGCTGGTGGAGTACTGTACTACAAGAAAGTATTTCACTCAGGACCGAATTGCTTGATGAATGTAAAATTCTTTATGTGCTGCCAATGCTAAAAGTTGATTCTTCAAAATTAAGTTGTTACACTTTCGAAAGGGCCAAATCCAAATGTTATTGCAAAGGTACAGAAAAGCCATTGTAAACTCCAACCCCATAAAACTCTACGTGGCACATAAGACATGTGAATGAATGGGAAAGGGATGTCAATAGTTACTCTCCACTTTCCTGAGATTGACTAAATATAAAGCTAGGCGTTGTTCAATATTGACCAAGGTGGCACTGCCCTTCCTAAGTTACAGCCAGACCACTTGCCCAAATACAACTTAGACCATAAACAAATTGTGGTTATTCACCACAAATTTCAAAGAACCTCGCTGATTCCAATTCTTTTTAATTGATTAGTTTTAGTTACTAATGACCCCGTATATTTTGGCATGAAATCAAACCACCTTTTCAGGACTCTTTAATAATCCTTTTCAGGCAATACTGGTAAAACACTGTTTTTGTGTTATGTTCTCATTTATATTTGATCATAATTAGTGAAAGGCAGAAAAAAAATCATTTTGAAAATGTTCATCACAATAATCTCATTTGGGCAAAAAGATCGGATCACGTTCCTTCAATCTGGTCTCTTCTCTATTTCATAACTTGTTTTTTTAATGAAAGAATGTTAAATATACCAAACATGGTAAAGATACATAGTTTTGTTTTAGTGTTATGACTAGTCTGATAGTGCATGACAAGGATTTCCTCTCTATAAGTTATTTGAAGAGCTGGTAAGTTATCGGAAACAATGCCTGGTTTATGTTGTGGTTTTCCTCATGCTCCGTTCAGTATGGACTTTGGCCTGGTTTATTTCCCTTAATCCAACTGCTTCCATATGTTATCAAAATATATATATATAAAAAAAAACATTTTCCTTCAAAAATCTACATCCTAACTTTGTTCAGTATGTTACAAGTGGCCATAAACTTGAGTCAAAAAATATTCAAAGAGCTCATGACTAATTTTGCAGCTTTTCAAAATAAGTCAGCTGATACGGAAAAGTATTCATCAGGGTATGAAATAATTCAGTAGAACAAAGAGGTCATGTAGTTTAACCTTTCATTCCACTTAGCCAAATCACCAGAGTGTTAAAATTGTTTCCCATAGTACAGTTTTTATTGGCAGCACGTACATACAAGGTTCATAATATTTCCCAACTATTCCAAACTGTCAACTCCCACATTTCACGCTCATAAAAACAGTAATGAATTCTTGACTGTGCCTGAAGTTATACCTGTGAATCAACAGGTAACCTTTCCTCCCTAGTCTTTCATATCCGAATTAAAACTTTTACAGAAATATATGGAAAAATTTAGGGCAATATTTCTTCTAAAACAAATGGAATATTTTTTTTACACAGTGGTTGTCCGAGTATCACAGGTACAAAGTTGCACCTAGACCATATTAATCACTAATCATTATTCTAAAAACTAAAATCCTGTCTGGAAAAAAAAATAAAAAAAACAATATCATCACACCTTTTTCAATTTCGAACTTTGCACATAAGCTTCATAACTCATTATTTCAGTAATCTCCACAGATTAATAGACTGCATATCATCCTTAAGGCCACTGTGAATATTGCCAGTATCTATTCACTGGCATAAAAAATGATCATAAGGCTAACCATGGTTGAATCATTGACTCCAGGAGTATTTCCAGTATCTGTGAACTGTTAGTAAACCTACCTGTATAATAGACTGGAGGTCATCCACATAGGTATTCTCAGTCTCCAGAACCTCGTCCACCACCCTGTCTATGTAGGAGAGTTTAGAAGGAGAACAGGGGGGTGGGGTTTGAGAGAGGGACGTTCTGCTTGTATCTTTCCCATTTGTATTTAGTGTACTTGAACTTTCATTCAACTCGTTAGCCTCTTCACAATACTCTGACAACAACTCTTCATCTGTGAGAGTATCCATTTGAGAATCATTGATCACAGAGTGGCGAAGATGCTGATCATGACTTCCGTGCATCTGCGATGTGTTGAGGCGTTTACGCCGTGTGCGTGGCAGTGAGGAGGTTGAAGTAGACGAGGTTGAACTGAGACTCAGTGGACGTTTCTTGTTGTCGCCTGTAGTAGCTGTGTCCTGAAGGGTTGAGTCATTATTACACGTCTCTACATCTTTCATCATTTTTCTCTCTCGATCCCGAGTCTGTTGTGGTTTTGAGTGAGTTTCCTGACCATTACTACTAGCACAGCCATAAGCTTCATTATTCTTCTCCCTTGTTTCACTACTGTTCATAGATTTCACATCACACATGCCAGCTTTGTGGTTTGTTCCCTCAGAAGAGGATGCATCATTTTCATGTTGGAGTTCTTGTGGTGTAGAAAACTCATCAAATACAGACATCAAATGAGGTGTCAAATCCACTGATGATCCTGAAAATTAAAATAAAAATGTATTATCTTGATCAAATAAATTAATAATCAGCCATAAAAACAACTAGCCACTGCCAGACATAGCACAGGAAGTGTTTAGATCAACTTCTAATGCCATGTTTTGGCAGTCTGTCTACATAAACCAAACGTAATGTAATACAACCTTACATAATAAGTATAGGCATATCACAGGTGTTTCACACATCATAGACCATGAATCTGAAATAATTCACAGAGCTATTCCTGTCTGGAGGATGGCCGTCTGTCACGGTGGGCTCGCCTGCCTTGCACTGAATTGACTCCAGTGGGCATATTACAAGTCATCTTGGTTAAATGGATATCCAAACAGGAACCATTCAACTGAGAAGTAGCGGAGAACAATGACGGGCCACACCTGAGTGGCCTTGCTGTATATTTGTGAAATTTTGCTTAAAGTTCACAGTATCTGTAATTGTTAAGTCAGGATTTCCGCATGCAAAAAGGGTCTTTCTTTGATGACTAACTTTTGAGATCTTTAAGATAGTGTAATTCCCCACACCACAGTTTTTCTAACAACTCCACCCATGGTAAAGTAATCTTATAACCTTAGTTATATAAAACCCCTTGTTGATTTAAGTCAATTTAGATGAAATGAGGCTTATAATGATGTCATTGTGGTTAAAAAACTACACAAAAACATTATATGCTACTCTAGGTTTATTGTTTTCTTAACTGCTCCCTACAATAATAGGCTTCCGTTCTACTTGTAACTTGCTGTACTGATCAACAAGAAAAGTTGGACAAATAACCACAATTTCAGGTGTTAGCTTTTCAATGGTCACATAAAGAACTACAGTGAATGGCTGCTTTCATGGACAGAACTGACCCAAGATTTCATATAGCCAGGGTTGGGGGGAAAAGTAGAAAATGTATCAAGTCTGGCTGACCAACGAGAATGAAAAGGTCAAAAGTCAAGGACAAAACAATACACTGAAGTGTTTATAAATGTTATGTAAAAATATGTCACGGCATACCAACCTATCTCAACTGGTCCAGAACTATGTAAAGCATGGCATAAGTCCACAAGCTTTATGGAAATGTTATTCTTACCAACACAGGTTGACAAACTTTTATAATACACACCTGGTGACCCCAGTGCAATAGAAAGCAAAAGGACTTCAAGCACATTTTTAATATGTTATATAAATTCAATTACAGTACAAGTCAAAATGCACCGAGTCACAACAGTTAGTTAAAATCTCAGCAAAAGAAAAGGATCCTCAATAACTTTTCCAAGCAATTAGTCTTTAGCATGTAATCCCCAAATTCAGTAAATATCAATCTGTTAAATGCCGAGAGCAAGATTTAGAAATGTTTCCCAAATTAAAAGATCGTAAAGTCTCACAAGATGGATAATGCTTTCTGCCCACATCAAAGGAATTTCTTTCCAATAAATTCACAATCCCCCTCCCAGTTTGTATTGAATATCAATATTCAATACTAAAACTGACTGTTGGATTTGACTAATCTCAGCTTAGACAATGCCCACTGAAGGTATTTGCTCACCATGGAAAGTTATCCAAATTGTAAAGGGCTTATAATGACAATCTATTATATGTAATTGTCCCACTTGGAGCCCGCTGATACCAGGCACCGACAGAGTATCAAATCCCACAAAATTGAGTTTTTCTGGTTCCTTCATTTGGATACTCACAGCCCATGCCCATGAGGCAGCTGGGATAGCTAAAATCCAATAGCAGTACGGCTGCTTGATGCATATTTCTTAATATGACATTTTTCTCCTGTTTTTAAAACTATAAAAATGATCCCTCTCATGACTTATAATTCTTGAACATGTTATTTTCTGAGTATTTACAATTTCAATTTTGGCCGTTCCATAAGTACCCTAACACTGTCTTTAAATTTCTTTCAAAATATGTGGTCAAATATACAATGCTCAAAGAAAACACATCATAAAATAAGTTGTCATACAATACCTTTAAAATGAACAATTGATGCCATGTGCTTCAATCTAGATAAAGTCCATAAAAATAAACAGATGACACTCATTAGATAAATAACTCAGCAAATTTACCTGCATGCCAACAGTTACAAGAGCCAGACATCCTTTATGGCAACCAATGAATACTGTCTGCACTTTACAAGTTTTTCAAAAAGAAACACGCATGGGCACACGGCTGACACATCAAATGAAATAAAATGCATTTAGACTAATCCTTTCACTGCAGCTAACTATAACCATGTATTTGAAGAGATTTATCTCCTTAATCAGGTTTAACAATCAGAAGCACAGCAATGAGACATGCACAGTGTAATACTAATGTGAAACCATGCGTCCAGGAGAAAGTCTTCCCTCAGACCTACAGTGGTCAGATACCTATCTGTTCCATAAAGCACAGCAGACAATGTGCTGTCAGTTCTATTAACACTAACCTTGTTATGTTCTGTGGTACATGTCATCAGCTAGTCTGATACCATCTCACTAAAAGCTGCCTGCCTTGGCGTAGGTGTGAAATCCTAACTTTATTTGTTACCTGGGTAAAATCCTTTTGTAGTTCTTTTGTAGATTTTCCATCCAAAGTCACTCAAAAGTACTAGTACTGTCTTCAAATTTCTCCCTGTCCTGTTTCTAGACTATGCCCATACTCAGCCAAACCACTACACAGTCAGACATTTGTGCATACAACCTCACGAAAATGAATGGAGCTCCTTTCTCTCCAATCACAAGTGTGTGTTAGTCTCTGCGTTCTGTGAGCCAATACAATGCAAACATGACATATTCCTCGCCATGCACACACAGTCCCCGCTCGTGTCCCGTTACAATCAAAATAGGTTTCCAATACCCGAGTTTGGTCAGTCAATATTTAGGGATACTGGGCAAGAGTGGACAGTGGTGCTGGACAGGTGAAAAGTATACAATGACCAGTTTCACCTCTCAACATTTAACGAAATGAATATTTATCCTGTCTATTAGGACTAAAAGTAGTTTTCACTCTACTGATCCTGCTATAAATAAAAGAAAAACAATACCGTTTGACCTTTACTGGCCCTGGCTACACCCTCAGTAACAATACACTATGACCACACTAAATGCATCATGATCCCCAGTCAATAAGATCTGGTTATTCAATATGTTACCCAATTAAACAGTAACTATAGCACATATTGGATAAAATGAGGCAAAGTCAGTGTGATTTTACTCTCAATTTGCAAATGCATATATTGCCTGTTATGAATATTGCTGCCATATCAATATGCTGTTTTGGACAACTGGTTTTATTGCTTCAAAGGCAGCATGCTCTTATCATTATCATTGTATCAATGGGATCTACTTGAAAGATTGGCAGCATAAATCATATCTCAATGGCAAACAGAAGTGCAATGATGTTTATAGCAATGCGAAATCTTATATCTTTTCACGTCAGCTATCTAGGGCTGTTTCACATCTCTAACCTTCGATACTTCAAATATCGTGATAATACCCACGTATTCTCTACTGAAATACCTACAGATGCTGTGTTTGCTTGCATTAAGCTTAATTACGGGGTCAAATATGTTAATACACTGCATCTCACCATTGTTTCATCCTATAAATAAAGCTGCCACGCTGTTTTGCCAGCTCTTCTCCCACAGGACTCTATATATGCCTCTCTGAGCTCCGAGCATACAAAAAATTATTGATTGCAAGACCCTCCTGGACAGGTACAAGGCAGTAATCTAGGTCAAGCACCTCGGCTTTTCTCTCTTATCCTCTAAACCATCAACTCCCTGACCTGTTGTCGGCATGAAGGTGTGTAAAACACACTTAAAACCAACACATTTTGCTCAGTTGATTATGCTTTACAGCTTACAGCAAATGCCTTTTTCTTCTATAGGCTTCCGGGACTGAGCACAGAACCATGAGAATGAGTCATCTACCAGTGCTAGGGCTTTGTGGAGGTTTTGATTAATCCCAGTGCCTTAGCTGATCTAAACATGCCTTACCCCTTTATTTACTATTTGCAGACCTGCTAACTTAAAGCTGCATTATATAAGAGTTATTGTACTGGCCCTAAATCTAACAATGCCATAAAATGTTCATTGATAAATGGCTCAACTGGAGTAAAAAATTCATGCTCTTGGGCTGAAAAAACTGCATCACTGCACAAATGTAATATCAGTGTTTTATATCTAATATTAAGCCTCAAATCAAGTGATTTTTTCAACTTCATTATCCAGCACAAGCAGATCTATCCGGATATCAACTCAGAGAGATAAATGAATCAATAATAATTAGCACCACAAAGAAAAGCACATCAGGTTTCTCTGAGAAATATCACTAGGAGACAAACACTGGTGACATTTTAACCTTTTTCTCTTCATTATTTGAACTAGCTGTGTTAATTACACCTGGGTTAGGGCACTGCGCTAAAACAAACAAAGCATTATCCCTCTGGCTTTCTGATGGCGTCTGACGTCAGACTTAAACGTCAGACTTGATCCTGCCGACAGAGAGAAATGTAAGAAGAGGTGCAAAGGTGGATTAACTAATCCCTCTCATTTCCAGGTGAACACTGTCTTATCTTCCAGCTGACTGTCCACAGTTCCCTCATTTCACATGCTGTGGGTAACAGGATTCCCTTTGTCTGCCATACATTGACACCCACCTTTGACATCTTTTCCTAAAAACAGGAGCTGAGAAGATTTTTTTCCTCGATTATTTTACTGCTTTCAGAACCTCATTGGTTTACATGCCAGGACAGCTGTGTTAGCAGTATCACCACCCACACCCTAAGAGATGAGTTTTATTATCAGTCAGGTCATGCCGCTTCCAACCAATTTCATTTGACATTTAGATAATTTTTTTCCAGGCCTTGAGGATTAGACTGCACTTGTAAGGGGCTCCTTTAAGTTCTTTTCAGTTTTTTTCCCTTTCCCTGAGCTGTATTAATTGTACTAACAAGCCAATCAGTCAAGAGGATGGATGTAAACTGAGCAACCAGCAGGAAACTATTTCAAGCCTAACATACCTCTCAACAACATAATTTTACTTTTTACGCCCAATTAAGGTCTTCAATGATGGATTTTTTTCGATCATAAATAGGTTGTTAGCATGCCTATCCTCAATCACGCTACTGAAATTTTCAAATATAGTTCATATATTGCTTTGCATCAGAAACTGAAAGTATCTTTTTCTAAACAAATCTTCACCAAGGTGGAGAAAAACATGCAATGATTACAACATGTTACAAGTGGTATACAAAACAATATACTATGGTAAGGAACATTGTTCCACATAATGATCATTACTTCTATTTCAAGAATAAGAGAATTTGATTCAATTTAGTTTTAAAATGAGTGTATTTTTATCAAATATTGCACATCTACCATGTTGAGAAACTGCTGTAGGGTGATCATTATGGCTAATTTTCTGGTAATTACTACTTTTACGTTCTGCTAAATATTGCCTTGATCCATCTTTATACTTATGATATATTGGATGTTGGCATTCACGTTTGTAAATATTAATGCCATCGATTTGATTGATTGCTTACAACAGTAGCATGGACACTAATAACAGATGGAAAGCACCTCCTGCTTTATTCCCCTGTACAATTTCAGATAATATAGTATACACAAAGCAAAAACCACTGTTACATGGAGCCTACTAAATAAAAAGACACAAAATCAGAACAGCTGATAAACATCTCCCCTCAAAAATGTCTGTAATATATAAATCACTCCGAATTGTTGAGCGTCATGCTGAGATGAGAGGAAATAAGGAAAGGGTGTGCTCTGATAGATATTGCACATTTTCAACTTTCAAATTCAGCTGGCTGGCATATCTGATGATATACAAATGACACACTTGCATAACTCTCGTGCATCTGCTTCTTTAAATAGACATGGCTTATTTTCAATATACAAATAAAGCTGTATATTTTACCACTGCTTGTGTGCTCCATAAATATACAAAGAATACAATGGCATAACTATGATAGCAACCAAATGGTACAATAAACTGCACCCATAAATTCCACCACAAAAATCATAAACAGCAGACTGAATGGCAGACCTTGCGGAAATGACTGTTGTATTAATATATAATCAGACAATGGATCAGATCAATCTTCTTCCAGCTGAAATAGATGGCTGTTGAGTGTTTAAAAAAGTTTTAAGAAAAAAGTTTCAGCTTTAATCTGAGAAAGTATGGAAACTTGGTGGCAATCCCTCTGCTGTAGAAATCTTCCTTGACCTTGTTCTGAATACATCCTAGGAAATATATAATAATCTTTATTAGTTCTAGCACAATTTTACAAAGGCTATGACCAAACAATTACATAGGTACCATATTGAGATAGGTTAATACTTAGTGTGTATACTTAAATGTAAATTCTGTTATACACCCATTATCAGAGGTGAAAATTATATTATTTGATACATTCTGTATTTTCATATACATTACTGATAAAGATGCAGTGACTCTACACAGGCAGGTGTTGCTTACATAATACAGCCACCACAATTTGATAATTAGCTAATACAGTTGTGGCATTCTCTCTGGGGCTCTGAAATTGGCCATATGGTAAGTCTGAGCAATATAAAGTATTGTACAATAAATGGGAGGGCAATTCATTAGTGACCACACCTTTTCAAGAAATATAATTCCTAACTGATGTTATCTCTGCAAATTGAACAATAAATGAACAGGCACTAACACTGATGCCAACAATTCAAGGAAATGAAGCCAGCCTCCACATCCAAAATTTCATTGTAAAGCATAAGGCCACTTTCATACAACATCAACTACAGTATGCTCTGTTAGTTGCAGAATCACTGTCAGAGCAAACCTTGCAATAAATCACTGTATGAGTTAAGCATACTGCCCACCTTGTATACAATATATCCATGCACATCCACACTTGCTAGAGGACACTGTCAGTGACATATAACCTGACATGCCTTGCTAATATGACACCTATGCAATATTATTCTGCACTGAGCATTTCCCCTGGCAAGTGATAGTAGGAGATAAGCACAAGTAGAGTGTCAGGAGATGGCAGGTAAACAGGGCCAAAGTCACACAAAGTCTATCCGGTCAATATATCATAATGAAGGTTACCAACACTGAAATTCTCAAAAAAATGAGCTTTGTGGTGATTTGTGAACTTAAAGATGAAATAAAAAATATATATATATATAAAAATGATTCAAATTAATAGAGAAAAATGTGTAAATTTGTTGTCAGCTTCACGTGTTACGTGTGCACAGAGAAGTGCACAACAAAGTTGACCTGATCACTAGAAGTGACGATAACGATAACGTCAGTAAAACAGTATCCGTAAATAACCCATTTCTGCATGTTTAAAAATACACAAACAAGTGCACAACAAAATAACAGAAACTTGCAGGTGGCTTTTTTTTTATATAGCTGAAACATAACCAGATGGTGACTTTGTGATAATGATATGTTTACTTGTTTTAATTCATTCCTTGGTGAAGTTTATCAATTTTGATGACCTAAAATATACATAAATCATAATCATAAACAACATAACAAGAAACACTGAATCAAAGTGCCAATAAGAATGGGTCTCAGTTGGCTATCCGTAATCAAATCAGTCATCTGCTAGGCATCTTATTTGATTGCCGTGATATATGCAACTTCTTGACTTCATTATACTGGGACATATTTCTGTACAATGGTTCATTATGGGATGCAAATACTGCCACATTAACACCAAAACTGCCAGCGACTTAATGAAAAAACGTCATGCTGTGTTGGAACAAGCAATGTCTCGTAAGTTATACAAGCCACACAGCATTTGGTATCAGATTCTATAACCTGTATCAATTCTCCCTGTCATGCAACCAGACAGATATACTGAGAGATATCGTATACTTTTTATCATGTCAGTCATTAGTGGTTTTCCTACAACGCAACATTTCCGGTCATTATCAAACATAATCATCTGTGTCTTTTTTTATATCTTTTTTTTTAACTGGGCCATTCACAAAAAAAACAGGTGAGTCACGTTTTATTTTTCATCAGTACAATAATATCACTTAGTTCACAAGATAAATTCAATACTATTATGTTGTGTTGCACCTTCCCTTCCTCTGCGCTCCTGACAGAAGGATAGGGGAGCAAATAGATGGTTGAATTCCGCAGTCCACAGAAGCCACACACTCAAACAATGCTCTCCTGTTCACCAAAGCTCCCAACTGATGACCCTGTGTGCCTTTTTCATCTAGATTGAGATTTAACCAGAAGTATCAATATTTTAAAGACACTTATTTTATGGAGCTAGATTTAATCAGTACTTTCACTCCAAAGCCACCTTTTTCATAGATTGAATGTTAATCAGATATATCATGGCTAAAGACACCTATTTTATCGACTAAGATATAATCAGAGCTATCGTGTATAAACACAGCTTTGTTCTTTTAGTTTTCATTGATTGAATCTAAAGAATGGAGGCTGGCTTAGGCTAGCGCATCTCATAAGCTTTCCACATGGTAATCAATAACTTTGAATACAAAGATCAGTGGGAGCCAGTGCATATTGAATCCCAGAACAGAATATTTAAACATTTATCAAACGATGTGACAATGGGCTAAATAATAACAAAATTATATAATTTGGCAAAGTAATGTTTTTTCTTTCATATCTTATTAGCTTAAAGCCTAAGTGCATATAAATCTCCTTGAGTTAAACAAGATCACTCAAATGAAAATAACCAGACAACCATACACCCAAGATTAAGGAAGTCTTACCTTAATCTAGTAATTAATAAATGATAAACTAATTAACCCCATTCTAAATAAGGTAAAACAGAAAAAAATCTTTACCAAAAAATTCCTTCCAGGTTGGCATTTTGCTCGTTTCCTCGTCTGAAGACGAAATTTCCATATCTTCCGTTTCCATTTCTGGTCCTTTAACCATGATATTACCCTCCTGAGTCTCAATGTTTGCTAACTTAGGTTCTCTGTTTCAGTCCATCTATAAACACTTTCACAGACAGCTTTGTTGAGTCGGGCTGAGCTCCAACTGTAGCAACATCCACAAAAGAAAAGCCTCTATTCACTGCCCATCAAGACATCCGGTTGCTCCAACGTAAACGTTCAAAATGCACTTATTTCACATTTTAAAAGGCAATATTGCGGTATGGTTAAAAAGATGAATTAAACATTTCAAAGAATGTTGTTATGCCGCCGCACATCTTGCCTTTGTATGGGTCGTCTGCTGCAACCTCTGCCTCTGTCAACCTGCAAAAGGTAATCCACATGAAAGCGGGCTGGGGCTGATATAGTGCAATCAATACCCCATCGTCTGCTTTATAGCATGTGGTCACCTAATCATTTTGTTTCATGCCAGAGACAATTAATTGTCACAGGTAGGTAAACACCAGAGAATCTCGGCACACACAAAGGGACAATTGGCCAGCCAAATGTCTTCTGCTCACTGTGTGTGTAAAACAACTTTAACTGAAATCCTTTAAAACAGGGGAAATTTGAGCAATTTGATCAGTCATTGTAGAAAACTCTCTAACATGTGGCAAACGATCAATAGGAGCTGTTCTGTTTGCCTCTGGGGAATCTCGGCTTAATTAGACTAGACAATACTTTTAGAAAGTGGCCCTTGTGACTTGTTCCTCTGACAAGCAAATGTGAACAGCATTTTAGAAAAATGTTTTTTTTTTTTTGAAAACCCAAACACCAAGCGTCCCTCCACTTCAGCAGCCACTGTAACAGGAAATGCCCATTGTAATGTCTCTCACTCCTGAAGATATTTATCAGTTCTCACCATCTGTGATACTTCAAGACAAAAAAACCCTAAAAATTGCCATATAGAGCTCCTTTCATGCAATTACCAATACAGCCAATCTTTTATGTATAATGTCTGCTCCTTTCTCTTGACTTGTCCATATGTAATATGCAGTAACAGATTACAAAGTATCTCCAGGCTCTTACAGTTTTTTCTATATCATATTCACAGGAAACTCCACTGTTACGTATTCCTTCTGCAACATTCACCTGGTACTGCTTTCTCTTTTGAATTCTCTACATTATCATCACCTTGGGCCATGAGTCTTTTTCAACTTTTCACTCTTCAAAACTGGCTGTGTATTTATCCCACCATTCCAGAGATAACAGAGCTGTGTGCATACCTTGGGCCCTAGCTGCACGATGTCTATAAACCCACCTATTTATAACTATGGTCTCAGATAATTAGACCAAGCATAACGCACATAGCAAGCTCTCAGCTCCATCCAACATCTACCATTCCATTTGTGGTTTCTGTTCTAAGTTCAGGTGCTCAGCATTTATGTGGATGGAGGTGTCTAGCAGTCTTCTCTTGAATGTCATGGGTTGTATCAAACCAAGTGTGTAAATCCCACAGGGCGCTCCAGTTTACATCATATTTCCCAGGTAACTCTGTAGCCCACTATCTCATCTCTTCACTGGGTCACAACACAGTTAACTCTATCTGCTTCCTATCACCTTTTAACTCAGAGCCCAAAGTCATTTCATCCGTCTGTGAACTTTATCTGGACTGATTTTTGCACTTAATGCATGTACAACTTTAGTCGCCCTCACCAATCAAACATGCAATGTGCTAGACATGATTAGCTCTGGCAATTTATCTTCAAACTGAACTCCAGCCTCAGGTAAACTTGTCACTACTGCAGGGCCTTTGGAGAGAATTAGACACAAAGATGAAACACAATCTACTTTGCAACTGATCTTATCTCCTAGTTTTTGTCACAAGCTACTCTTTTGGGCTATGTATCTTACCAGTCCTGCTGTGCCATTGCACTGTGTGAAAGATGGGCTAGTTACAACCATATATCAGCACTCACATTCTCTTCAGGAAATATGATACACATTTCCTCCCTTTAAAATTGCTTCAAAGGTCTGAAAGTCCTGTCCATCAGTCAACTGATACTATTTTCTCTGCCTTCTTATCAACCCTCTTGACAAGGCATGTGGACCAGTTAAACATGTATCCACTTAGTAATTATAGTCATTACAGCAAACACACTCATACATATCAAGAATAATTTTTCACAGTGAGACCAGAAAATTATATACCAAGTCCATCTTATGTGGACAGTTGGACTCTGGTAAATGATTGGTCAAATATCTCTCATTTTAGCCAGGTAATTATTAACATGGTTGAAATGCACACACTTGTGGCTGGCCTTCAGTATTGCCAAGATCTTATCTGGATAACAAACAGCTCTGATGAACTTTTAACTCTATACAGGTTTATGTTTCAATTGCAACCTAGTTTTTTTCTTAAAAAAAGAAAGAAATACAATATGCCCTTCTTGAGTAATTGGCTTAATGCTGATCCCAATGGTTTAGTGTATTAGCAACCAAAAGTGCTTAAACCATCCAAATTAGACAGCTTGGACAGATAGAATTAAGATTAAGTGGACTCCCCACATCTTGTCCAAATATACCTGCCGTATTGATAGCTTTTTAAATATTTAGACAAATCTTAAAATATTCTAAGTTAATACTGCTTTTTTTTCCACTGGGACAAAAATAAGCAATAATGCAGCTTTGTTTATCAAAGTAAATTGGCAAATATTTTTTCTTTTAAACTGTATTGTTTTCATATTTTTAATTGCTAGGAAAAATATGATGTAGAATATAAATTTTTCCTATGGTGCCCACAAACACCAATACACATATATATGCAAGCATAAATGATCAATAAAAGGGAGGGGTGGGGCACAGGGTTGAGGATGAGTTGACATGAATAGACAATTCAATTATCCTGTACCCATTCATTTTAACAACCATAAATATATTCAAATTTATAGTCCCAAACATGGTCTTTTGTTAAAAAACATTTAACTGATGAAAAAAAAATGTATCTTTTCTACATAAATCAAAATCATTCAATACTTCAAACTTGAAAGAGTAAAGCGGTCCACCCTCCTCCTAATAATTGCTAGTCACCAAATATTAGTAGCAATGTAATTGATATATACACAGCACTGATGTATATAATTAAAGTTCCAACACCTGTCCAACTTTTAATGACTTGGACCAGAAAGTGTCCCCCTGGAGTAGAAAAGACATATATCACAGCTGACAAATGTTTACTGGATTTTTTACATGGAACAACCTTGGCAACCATTAAAGAATTAATGTGCTTTCTTGAATGCACAGGATGTTGTGATCACATATGGCAAAGTACACAAAACCGAACATTTTTGAATTTCATAACAGATAAATAGACCAACAGCCAGTTTATCAAAATTAATTACTTAAACCCCAAATATATGCTAAAATCATTTAATCACTTGATGACACTAAAAATTAATAACAACAACATATATGCTTTAACAGGCAAGGACTTAGGCATAATCACAAGCACATGAAGGTGCTTATCCCTGAAACTAATGCACTGTAGTATGTACTGAGCATGGAAACAAACTCACCAACAGACGAACAACCTGAGTAATTCTAAGCCTGCCAAACCTCCACCTTCTCTGAGCAGCATATCATTCAATGTGACGTAACCTCTGCATATATGTGATAAGGTATTGGAAAGATTTGCCAACTTGGCCCTGATTCCTTCCTGCACTGAGAGAAGTGCTATTACAGCTGTTTTATTGGAGCCATACATCTCTCTGCATAGCAGTTTTTTTCTTAGAGAGGTCAGATTAACCAATAACACTACTGCATACATGTACTACATACAATGTTATCTAAGTTAAAGGTTATTTCATCAAAAAATTATATGAAAGTCAAATGTTCAGTATTTTGTATCACTAAAATGATGCTTTAATTTAGCCTTGGTTTATATTTAAATGTAGGGAATATAAAATCCTTGCTGATAACATTATCCAAACCTCTCACCCAACTAATCAATGCAACCTGGAGCTGCTGTTTTAGCAAAATATTTCTCTATGTACCAACTACCAATGGAAACGCACCATAATTTTGACTTTGTACAATTGTTTTTAATCAGTTCAATTTCCGGAGAATTTCCAAAAAACTTGTAACCTGCTTACTACATTACTAGGGCACATATAATGTGCTTTGAAATCTTTCGGTTGAAATTACCTGAGAATGTGAGTCCATGTTCGAGTAATTTTGCTCCACACTGGTTTTATTAGCAATAAAAAATGGTCTTGTCATTTTCTTTAAATCTCAACCTCAAAATAAGATGCAGCATTTTCCAAAAGATTTGTTAACGAGCTTAACAGGCTATGCCTCAACTGAGCTAATGTTGTTTTTGTCTTAATCGAAGAAAATATTTTTTTAAACTTGTTACAATCCACAATTTGTTTGTAAGCTTTTAGCAATATGAGTGAAATCATCCACATTTTGCCTTGTCTTTATGGCGCATTCATTATGCTAAACAATAAAACCCCAATTTACATTTATAAAAACTGTGCTGACAAATGACATGCCGATAAAGAACATCACAAAGTGTAATCAATTCTTTAACCACCCTGTAATTAAACAGCATCTAATACACCCTTAACAATGCTTTTCATGTCAAAATGTCATTGAAATGCCCACCTACTTTCCTCCCTGTCCATGTTCTAAATGAGCCTGCATGCCTGGTATGACACATTTAGTGGCAGACACTGGCCAACCAGACACAAGAAACACATTTAGATTGATATCTGATAGAGACATTGAAGAACAATAATTGCCACCTTCCATTTGCGATTCCTATCTTGCCATATTTGTGACACAGTACATGCCTTATGTGTGTTCCAACTTGTGCCTTGTGCTATATTATGCCTATTAGGTCCTTGTTACAGGACCCCTTGTTACAGCACCAAGCACACAGAAACAAAATGCAGAACTTCAGACTCATTTAAGCAGAGATTCTTTGAAATACGATACACAATTTGAAATATAATAGAAGCTTAGGGTGTTTTAAGCAATGAGCAAAAGTGATTTTCCATCAAGTAAGGAAGAAAAAGCTTGAAGAAAAAGTGTGAAACGCTTTCATTTGTTCCGATCAGGGCTTTTATGTTGTAGACATGAAGGGGAAAATTAGACATGAACATCTCTTGCTTCCAGTCACTGACTCAAAGAAGTCTCTCAAGCTTATGAGATTATCAAGCCATCAGTGAAAGTGAATCTTTCTCAGTGAAAAAAAGAGACTAAACAGATTAATTCTATGCCCTAAGACCTCACAGCATCACATAATGAGATGGACAAGGCAATCTTTCTATTATGTTACATACTGGGCCATAGACGTTCAATTGGGTTGAAGGGTACATGTTTCAAAGTGAAAAATGAAAGGGAACAATATATCAAACATGCTTTTCTAAACAGATGCCCAGTGCTGTAAAATGTGCCTGTGAAGAGAAATATTATGGTGAAGTCCCTCTTATACTTCTAATGTTACCAAGCTTTTTTTTTTTGCCTCCAGAGACAGAAAAACAGTCATGAGTCTAAAATAAAACAAAACAAAAAAAGGAAAACACATTACAGTATTATGGAAATATATCAAAGGGCCAAACATAAACATCATGAAGAGGTCACTCAGAATGGAAATACATCTTCCTTCTCACTTCATTACCAGATCTTCAGAAGTTTTATGAAATATGCTCTTTAGAATTGAACTGATGATATTTCAAGGTGCTGTTAATGAAAAGCACTCACTGTTTACTTTCCTGTAGTTCTAGTTCTTTAAACTGGCCAATTTCATGACACTTTAACCACATCAAACAACACGTATATTATTTGCAAAAAATTCAAAGATGTTATTAATCTTCAAAGTGAACCTAATCCCCATGAACTTTATCAGACCATGTGTAACTACGTCTTAGTGACCATAAACTCCACATCGAAACTGGGCGGCACACCAGGCCAAAAACTGAAAGGTGCGACAGAATCTGTCGCCTGTGCACCCAAGGGGTAATTGAAGATGAATACCATTTTATATTCCAATGCCCAATGTACAAAACAGACCGAGTCACCTTTTTAAGTAAAACCTCAATCCTAAAAGCTGATCCCAGGTCACCAGACAGTCATTTATGCCATGTATTTAACAGTGCCAAAAAAGATACTCTAGTGTCCCTCTCCAACTTTATAATCAAATCATTCAAGAAAAGAAGTGAAGTAGTTGCTCTGCTTGGTAACTCTTAGCATATCCCTTAAAATGTCAGTGTATGGTCTCACTGTTGTGAGAAGTGACTCGGCAGTGGGACTGAACATGGCACAATATTTATATCTGTTTAACTTATTTACTTATCTGTCTTATGTAATTGTCATTAGTCGTAATTATCCATGTCATCAAACTGGCTTTAAACAGCTATGTAACCTTGGTTTTAAGTTTAAACATTTTTTTTGTGTAACATGTTTATAGTATGTTTATGGTAAATTTAAAATCACACCAAGGTTTATCGCATTGCTTAGATAGAATATTTTATGAGTAATTTTACTGATACGTATGTCCATTATATAAAGATGGTAATGCACTAACTGTATTGTATCGTCATTAGTATATCATATTGTACAAGGTCATGACAATCTATGTACCAGTACAGAAATAAATTGAATTAATTAAATTCATTTTATCCAGAATTTATCCTTTTGGACCACATCTTGTGAATAAATACTTTGCCCCAGACAGACCCAATTGTGTTTGTTGTGCTTCAATGGACTGCATTCAAAATTGAACCAAATATCCATCACCATGCATAGCCAATAGAAATATCAATTTCAGATAAACTGATAGGTGATGCCAAATGAAAAACGCACATTTTAAGCATATACACCATACCAGTAAAAAAAATCTGCCCTTTTTTTACCAGTTACTCTTTTACAACCGAAAATGACACAACTTTTTTAATAAAAATAAATTGCACAAATGTCCTGCTAAAATAATAATAACTGGCGGTCATTGCTCAGTAAGATACACATAATTTCTGGAACTATTAGAGGGCAGTTTCTTTTCAAATATATCTATGTATATATAATATAAAATATACAAAATACAAATATAAAATGCTTGTGATATAAATTCAACATTAATAAGAATGTTAAGCAACTTAATCA